CGTTTTGTTTATTTATTTTTGCTCTATTAAATTCATTTATCAAATCTGTTGGGAAGTTGGACCTAGTTTAAGGATAATCAAATTTATTGAAATTCAAATATCATGCTAATTCTTTCTTATCAAATGCTATCAAATGCATGCTAATCTTAAAATGCTAATTCTTTCAAATCAAATCGATTACTTTTTTGATGTTCTTCGCTCTAGAAGTGCGTTATTTACTTTACGTGACATGCGAAGATCATTATTCAAACCTTAGTCTTAAGTCTATCTCTCTAATTTCTAAAGCATCAAAACCTTCAACTGTTCTTGCTATTTTTTCACGTCCAACTTCCCACCCCTTAAACTGATTTCCACTATTTTCCATCAATTATTCTTCCTTCATGAAGTGATTACCACACTGGGCATTTAAACCTCAGGTTCGTAGTGTTTTCCGTGCTAAAGTGAAATTAATCATTTATTTAAACTATGTTGAAACATTTCGCAAGATTTATAATTTGAATTCATTCGTAAGATTTATAATTTGAATTCACTTCTTTACAGTATCCGAACCCGAGACTGGCTGGCCTTAATTTATTTGTACGTAACGCATTCGTCACTACTTTCTTTCTTCGAGTGACCAACCCGCCATCTTCACCTTCACGTTCCCATATGCTGAAGATTGCACTTTTGGATTCGGCTCTCATTGACTATTTTCGCCTTTACTATGAAGATGAATCATTCAAAGTCACTCAAACTGTTTTGAAGAAATTAAAATAAAAGTTTCCTTGATTATTTCTTTAATTAACTACCTGTCGATTGTGTGAATACCTCACATCTGTTTCAGGGCTAATGCTGGAAACACCAACTTAAATCTTATTGCGTATGCGTACATAAATTGTGTAATTCCAATTCATTATATCATGTTTCTTAAATGGTTGAAAGTTTTTTAAATGTTCCATTGACACGATTCTTCGCACTGTAGACAGTGGTTCACTTGTCATCTCCAGCCGCTTCGGGCCCAAGAAAAAGTTTTAATAATGAACAAATTGTCGCATGAGATAAAAATGCTAAAACGAGCACCACATTACCGCTCTTATTTATATATGACAAGAATCTGTGGGTCCTGATTACGTGTCGTATGAAATGACATATAACCTAATTTCCTATAAAAATTATTACTAACAAGAATTTTACAATCGGGATCTATCATCTAGCTAATAGTTTCTAAAAGTTCTTATGTGTTCAGCTTTATCGAGATTTTATACGGAAATTTTAAATTTTTACCTAAATGCAAACTGAATTTTCTTCGGGAGCGATGTAGTCCTCTAGACTTAGAAATTTGACGTATCGGTAGGTTAGGGAGCATTGTAGGAAGCATTCAAGCATGCCGTCTGTGGTTATTTTCTGACTCAGCTGCAGCGTAGGAGCCTTCAGAGTCGACATTGATTGGCTTTCCGTTTGATTGACGGAATCGAGTTCAGAAATGTACATTGAGAATTTGGAAGATTCGATTCATTCGATTCGGCCTCGATTCATTGAAATAATCATATTTTGTTTCTATTAATGTTGCACTTCATATGAGGTCACAACAAACAAAAACATTTCCTCAGATACCTTGTTCAATCAGAGTGTTGAATTATTTACAACATAATTTATCAGCGACAGAATTGCATGGCTAAATTATGGTTTGAATTTAGTTGAGACGCTTGTCCAAAAAACAAGTCCCACTAATTCATCAAACTTATTTTTTCAGGGTTGACGATAGTTGCAACTTCACGAATTAAGCAAGGAATAAATATTCACCGGACTGATCGAGTTGAGTCAGCATGATTTACTCAATCAGTGCGAGATGTCGAACTATTCCAACTAGCCTCGTATAACAATCCCTCCCTATTTAATCTTAAGAGAGCTTGGGCCATTTATTTTTCATTCAGTTTTAATAGCCAAGTTCAAAGATAATTTCTGATCGATTTTGATAGAGTAGTTTAGTTTTCATTCTCTATCAAAACAATTAAAGGAACCGCGCATTAACAATTAGTAAAAGGAATGCCAGACTGCCAGTAAGAAGAAAAGTGTACGAATAAGGCGATGTGAATGAGTTGTCTTCCAGGTCGACCTTTGAAAGCGTGTTTTGAAAAAAAAAATTATTAAGTATTAGGGAACATTTTTTATTAAGTTCAATGTTAAAAACTTGGAAACTCAATTAGTGTGGTCCTAACCCACTGACTTGTTAGGACCACAGTGGTCCTCTCACTGCACAACTCCTCACATACTGGCATCTAAAAACTATTCAAATCTATTTAAACATTCATTCAAACAATTATATGGGAAAAGTAAATTTTTAACCTGAAATGTTTAAACCAATAAAAACATAAACTGTACCAAAATAAATCTCTCTGCCAGCAGTTACCCACGGCATCCCTGCCGGGCTTGTGACGAAGATAATCGGATTTTCTCGAGGCTACAAGACACTAAGCGCTGCAAGAGACCAGATGCTGCCTCGCTGTTGTACACTGGGGCAATAATTGCTGCAAGCCAAAATTATGGTCGCTTTTATGGCTCAAGCGTATTGCGACGGCCGATCATGGCTGTATTTGTTCTGAAGATTAACTAGCCCCAGTATCAACGCGAAGATATTTATTGTTCAGCAATAGCGGTAGCTGGCTGTCGGTCGACGAGAATATACGCATGAATAATTCAGTTTGTGCAGAAAAAATATTTAGAACAATAGTTCACGATTATATTTTTATTGGTATTTTCTGATGATATATTACGACTCGATAAAAGTCTCATTTAGCGATCATAGTTACTAAATGCTTCATTAATTTTGTTGTGAATATTGTTTACTTCGAAATTTAGTTAATGAGCTGCTCGTAAACCTTATGTCGAATTTTTTCGCCAAAATTTTTGCGGAAAATAAATTTATAACCGCACCGTTATTAAAATTTTAATGGCAAAAGAAAAATGAATATTACCTGTACCGCTGTACGTAATGGCTCAGTAATTTCTCCTGGTATGCAATCTGTCAAGTGTTACCTACTCAAGCGCTCTGAAAAGGCTCAAAAAGATATGAATTTTCTGCGTCCATAAAAGATTTCATGAGCAGATGTGCGTCAAAAAATGTACCTTTTTTGAGAAGAATATCCACGGACCATTGACTCCTCTGTAAGTTCCCTGTATTTTAAGTCAGCCTTAACGAAAAAGAGCCAATCGCCTAATCGTGAAAGCACACATTTTTCAGCGCTCATTTGCGTAACTGATTGAGGCAATTCTGTCTTAGTTTATCCTCGTCAGGAAGTTCACAAAAAAGTTCATTGCAAATAGTCTTCTGCGAGGTCACCGGCAGCGCAAAAACCTGCACGTTGACTGTATTTGAAAACTTAACATCTCCTCAGATTCACCTCAAGGCAGCCGGAAGAATAACGTCTGAAATTCACGGCAACCGCGCGACGTCTACATTCTCATGCAGCTATTGGGCCCAGGGCCGATACGGGGGAAATTTCCTGGTTTCTCTTGTTGAAGCAAAAATTTTTAGGAGGAAACGTGGAAAACAAGTGAATACATTTGCAGGGGCTCCTAACAGAAATAATCTTATTGTTTTCCTTTTACAATAAATTTGATGATGAAAGTTTCAACACATGAATGAAGTACCGTGTCCTAGAAGTGTAAAATGAGTTGTATTTTTCTAAATATGCTATATGTAACAGCAGGCTCAAAAATGTTTAATTAAAAAATTAGCAAAGAAAATTTAGTTTTTTTATTAGCATCTTGATATATGACAAGTTCATAGTTACAATTCATGAAATGAAATAGAGGACCACTTTTATTTCAAATGTGCATCAAATTGGAGATCTCTCGACAGCTAGTGCAACTATACATCGTGACCACCCGATCAACCTCAAACGCTCATGTTTTACCTAGTTTACCTGACAGTCGGAAATTCTGAAGTAAATACGAACGTCAAAAAATTTTAATGAATCGTATGAAATGAATTTAATTTTATATTAGAAATTTTTCTTTGGAAATTTGAAGCTAATGACTTCAGTTCTTGGAATTATCGATTGTCGGTTATGACAGCAGGCTTCCGCATACTGCAACCTAACATGACAGAATAGCCTGGAATAAAGGATAACATTTGCATCTTTTTTTTTAAATGTCTCAACTAATAATTTATACAATATATAAATCGATTCCTGCATCATTTATAAATTCCCGAGATGGACTTAAAATTAGTGTGTTTTCTCCGAAACCTCTTTTAATCACCAATTTAGCCCTGTTTAATCAATTTATCTTATCCCTACTAAATAATTTATTTAAACATTCTTTACAATCTTCTTATCTAGCCTCTTCCTCGGAGCTGAAATTATCGACGATATTATCGAGGAACAGAATGACTATAACATTAGGGTGGCATCTAATGGGAATTTGAAAATATATTGAATATCTGAGCCGGCCGCATCAAGAGCTGCCCGCTCAAGCGGATAATTATTTATGCTTGGATGGAAACCGTCCGCATAACACGCGGGCAGACTGGGGGGCGTCGGACGGTGAGGGGAAAATGTTCAAACTCTACACAATTTTACAATATGTACCTATATTGCATACATCAGCCCGTTACTTCCAAATTTACTGCTCATGTCTAAGATTTAATTGTTTGTGGTCATCATCGGTTCGATTGTTATACGGGTGCTATGTAATTGGCCTAATAATTGATATTATAAATATTAAGAATAATGTGTCAAGGTGACTAAGCCTCTTAGAGGGACAGGTAGCAAGATGAATACCTTTCTAATTTACTGATATAATTATTCAGATTTTTTACTTGTTTACATTAGCTTACTAAACATTACATGTAATTAATTAACGCTGAGGTGAAGCTATTGATTCTATATTCAGCATGGCAGTCGTCCGTGGATACGAGCTGACCTGTCGCGCGTCGCAGTCTGGTTGCCAACGCGACTAATGCTCGCGACGTGCGACTTCGCTCATTGAGTTAGTCTTACTCCTACTTACGCGAGAGCTCTGTCTCTTTATTATTGAGGTTTTGTTTTTGTTGCATCATTCCTAACCACTATATGAGTATAACAAGCATAGAAAATATATGCAAGAAAGCAATTATTGAGCGAAACGAAAAGTTGCCCATGGATGATTCATTTTGTGTTTTTAACTGAGATTGTAATGAGCGTCAATAACAGGAAATGCAGGTGTCACGCCGCGTCATCTTCATGGGTTGTGCCATCAGTTTCTTCGTCAGCATGACACTCCTGCCAGGAGGTTGGTTAGAGCCACGGTTGAATTATATTAATTCAATCATGATTCAGTTTAACATCAATTTAAATTATTTTTATGGATGTATTTTAAAAGTTAGGCATGAAAATTATTATCTTCGGTGATGTGGGCAAATGAATGTTTCTATGAAATAAAATACATGATTTTAAAATTATCTCTAAATTTTTTTAGATGAAATAAAGTATAATATAATTATCACTTGTGCTTCATTTGGATGTTTCTTCTCATAATGTAAGCTTCACAATGAATAGTATACTCATGTATTGGAATATTGCGATTATGTCATTTTTTCCAGGTGTTTTTATCGAAGTATGCCAGGAAGGACGTTGCTATCGGGCTCCGCAACCTGTGGGAAGATCCTCGCCTAACAATACAAAGCTTGACAAATCCTTGGAATTATCCGGAATGTTTGCTTCAAACTCCACAAATCGTAAACACTTGGATAAATCGTGGTCTTCAGTCGAGAATATCCGTATCGTTAAAGACAAGGACTTACAATCAAATTATTACAATAATATAAAAATTTCTCAAGATGTTTCTAGTTATTACGAGAATCAACGCCCGAGAAATTTAACAACTTTAGGAAATATTTCTAAAACGTCAGAACTAAGCCCTGTACAAACTCTTCCCATAAATAGCCTAACTTTTAATGCTAACAACAAATTTCCTGGAGTACTCGTTCACAATCATGCCGATATAATTACAAACTTGACCAATTTGATCACCGAGATCACTCATTTGGACCTCAAGAATGATAGTTCAATCATCAATATGTTGCACCAAAGCTTGAGCTCCTCCAACGCTGATCTCCGGACTATGCTAGAAGACCTTCAAGTGAGTGAATCAATGTTAAAATGGTAATTTTCAAAATATACATTAATAATATGGGTACTCAGAAGATCTGTGCAAATGTATTAAAACAAATAGAATAGATGCTTAGAACAAACAGATCTAAATTATTGAACGACATGAGTGAACTCATGCCGGTGCATTCATTAACGCTTATGGCCACAATCACAGATTTTAAAACTATATGAAGTCAACATTGTGTATTTTTATATGTCTCTTGATATATTCAAAATAGTTTGTCTTAAACCCTGTTTATTCTGTACATTTTTTGTTTCCTCTTCGGCGTTTTTCACTGAACGTTTTTCAGTGAAAAACTCGCTAAGTTAACGTAATTACTTACGCTCTATTTTCTTGTCTATGATTGCTGGATTTTGCTTGAAATGCCATCAATGAATGGCTGATGAACTTATGATCTCTTAACTTTTTTGAAAGTATAGCCCCGGGACATAACAGTAAAATTGCGCAAATCATCACATATAACAAAGTATATGACGGTATAGCTCTTTCTTTCTCAGAAGTTCAACGACCGCTACGCATGCCCCACGTGCAAGGATGACCGCCCCCCGCCCCACACGGCGCTGAGTCTCAACACGCGCGTGCCACACGATAAGACCTGGCGCGGCATCAGGCTGCCGCTCGTCACGTACAGCGTGCATGGCAGACTCGGCAACCTCATGAGCGACTACGCCACCCTTTACGCACTCAAGAAAATTTATTGCATGTCTGCAGCGCTCAAGAAATCTCATTATAGTGAACTTGATAAATATTTTACAGGAGTAACAATTCAAGGTAATTAATGATTGGATGGGCTATTTCATGAAACAGTATAAATCGAAAATTTTTCATCAATTCAATTCTGCACCTAATTAGAGTCTAATCAGATCTATAGCAACGCAAGAATTACAAAGAATTTTTCGTCCATTGTGGCAATTGAGTTTAAAATTATCGCCAAAATGCACACTCTACCAATTCCAACGATGGGGTTCTTCCAGTTTTATCATTCATGATAATAGATCCTCCAACGTTCGATAATTAAGAACACCTTTGATTAGGCTAATTAATTACACAAGCAACTTAAAATTTCAAGTTTCAATATGCTTGATATTATTAATGATATATTATCGAAATTCAAGAAATCTCACTTATATGTGAGCAGTTCTCTTCGCAGGGAGTCCCAGCCATTGATATGCTACTAATTAGCGCATTTTCTCATCTATGGAAAAAATGCACTAATGTGCTCGCCATGTCCGTCCGTCTGTCTGTCTGTCCGTCTGTCCGTCCGTCTGTCCGTGATCTCAAGTTTTCGTCGACGAGAAAATGCGCTCTCTGTCACTCATGACCTGCTGGTCACCTGGTAGTGACCTGATGGTCACCTGGTAGTGACCGATGGTCACCTGGTAATGGCATGTCAGTCACTCAGGTGTGTCCTGATATAAACTTGTTTTTGATCGAATGCGTATTTGATGGTAACTGGTAATCTTTTAAATAAGGAATTGAATTCGAATTCTCAGATAAAAAACATGAAAATCTGAAGAAACATACGACTGCATGTGGTTTTGATTGCCTCCTAACCGCCACATTCAGAATTTCCTTATCAACTCTTGTCTGTTAATTTTCTGGCCATCAAAATTTGCTGCATTATTATCAAATTTACAGCAAAAGATACGCGATGTGATATTCACACTTCGAAAGCTTCCCATATTGTTTGATTTCAAATACATTACCAGTTCACTTCTCTCAGGCCATGATCGACCGTTCACATCGCCTGGTGCCACTTGGTATTGATATTTGTACAACGCGATGCTTGATGTATACGTGATACTCATAAATTCTCTTCTACACAGGATATCCTCTGGAAATGCAACTGTTCGGTGCATTCAGGGAAGAATTAAGAAAAGAGTTTGCCTGCAAATCAAAGCTTGACTTATCGGTGAGTTTATATCTGCATGGACAACATTCATGGGAATATTTTTAGTTTCGAGTTCGTTTATCATTTTAATTTCTACGAATTAAATGGAGAATTTTAGAAATGAGTGGGAAAAAAACTATTTATCTATCAACAATATTTATTTTATTATGCCATTGCATCTATGAATAATTAATAATCTATTGAATTTTAATTAATTAGAAATATTAAACTATGATCCTTCGCTTTCCGTCACGGCCTTGATTAGTGATGCCAGTTTTTTTTAAATGATCTCTCTACTAATAAAATCCCCAGAGCTGGGACAGACTACTTGAATGTAAATATTCTTAAGTAATTCATATACTTGAAAGAATATAAACTAAATTTTTATTGTTTTTAATGTGAAAGGTTTTCACACATTTGACAATTGTAATGCCGTTGCCTAATTTGGCTCAGGCACAATTCAGGCTCAGCAGCATAGCTCTGCAAGCAACGAAAGCGGACCCTCACTCGCCTCTGCTGTTCGTGGGCGTTCACGTCAGACTTGGCGACTACATCAACTATTTGCAAACTGTGAGCCTGAGATCACCCTTCAATTCTATGCAAATTACTAGTAACATTAACATAGGCCGGGATGAAAAAATTGTAATTAACTTCGAAATCTGTTTTTAAATTCGTACCTGAACATGTTTTGCTCGATCGAAAAGTTCTTTTTGTCAGTTGCTCAATGAGTTCACAATCAATGAGCAAAGATTCTTCATGAAATAATGTTCGGTCATTGATACAAAATGGTTTAAATTATGCTCAAAGTATTACTTGGAATATTAATTAAAAGTATTAATTAGATTGGAATTAATAAATATAACTATGAAAGACATTAAACGCGCTATATTTCACAGAAATACGCCGTACATGGATTGTCGTACGATCGCTACTTGGCACGAGCTGCCGCGTATTTCATGCGTAATTACACGAACGTCATCTTCGTCGTGACGTCCGACGACGTCAGAACCACGATGAAGTTATTCCGCGACGCTGGCCTCAACAACGCTTTTGTTTCTCAAGGTATTGAGCGGAATACTTAGGTCTGCTGCCAAGAGTTGTGAGGCTAGGAACTGGCACGAATATTAATTTTGTATTATCGCAAAGGTGAATAGCTCATATACTGTTATTCGATATGCATGAAACACCGATGACTTATTTAATATTATGTAGTTTCAAGCCCAATTCTTATCATCATTGCAGAAAAACTTACTACCTTTTGTATTATATCTTGTCTTAATTGTTTTTTCCCAGGATCCATAAATTAAAATGATCAAAATGTGTACGGAATTTCTATGTTCATATATCATTCATTGCACTCATATAAATGTTTCCATGTACCAGGCTCCATAGGTGATGACATGTGCCTGTTGTCCCGATGTCACCACAACATCATAACATTCGGCACGTACGGCTTCTGGACGGGCTTCTTGGGTCGGGGCATCACCCTGTACCCTGACCTCCACTTCCCACACAGACAATACATCCTTGCGAGGCCTTCTTACGAGAGGGCAAACATGAAAGATTTTATACCGATACCTTTACGGTAACATGAATGAACTTTTGTTATTACTCATGCTAATTGTTTACCTCCTTACGGTTGTATATTTTGATTCATAACCAGGTATTTCCAGTAACGATGATTATAACTAAATACTTCGAGTAAAATAATGACATGTTAATAGTTATAAATTTTAATTAAAGCACAGCAGCTTAGCATCAACAGCACCTATATCATACTGACCATTTTGGAGATGACGCCACTGTATATAACGCTTCAGGAACTGAAATTAACCTAGTACTTATGAATAATTTATTTCAATATTTGATTGCCGTGATTTGATTTGAGTGTTTTCAATTTCTTGCCTACGCCATATCGTTTGGCTAGTTGATGATAAACACTACGCCAAATCGTTTGACATTATTGATGAACATTGTGTTTTATGTATTTATAAAACAGCTTAATGTTTATTTGGCCATTCGGTGTTTTAGAAATAATATTGGTTGAAACATTCTTAGTTAAAAGTAAAAGTGAAAAAATTCACGGGCGAAGCGGAAGCAAAGTTTTGAAATTTGCCTTTATGTGAAAAAAACGTTAATATTTCTCTAAATCAAATTTTGCTGCCCATTTATTTTTCATTGTGCCCGGCTTGGTAACAATTTTGTACACTAGACTGAACTTTTATTGTCAAACTTTATCTTGCTCCGATAGGCTTGTGAACTGTAGCGTATGAGCCTTCGTCCGAGTAGACGAGAGTTTTGAAAGTTATTTGCATTTCGCTCAGTCTTTAGAATTAATCCTGGAGCGTCGTTTGTGTAGACAAGCTGGCTTGGCCCAAGACTGCAACAAACGTGACAATCTGTCTAGTGTATAATAAAGAATTGAAATGAGAGACGAAATAATGTGGCATTAATTCGTAACAATCTGTTTTGGACCAGCTTGTGGAAATTGGGAAATAAGGAATTGGGGATCCTGCCTGACGCCTTGAAAGTTCCTGGCTGGCAATAATTATAAAACTTTAGCGAGTAAACGAAGTTTATAAAGAGAGCAGCAGCCCACATTTCAGCGTAATTATGAAAGAAATTCAGCGTCTACAAATTTCATGCCTGATATTATTTTAGAATTTTCCTCACCTTACAATCTTTTACCGCCAAGCTGCGATTTTTTGAGGAAAATGGCTAGCCACGAGATTAAAACACTTGAAGCGATTGAATGAATAGACTCCGATGAATAAAAACTATGTCAAGTCAAGATTCAAGTGTTAATATTTGATTATTCTGCACGAAGATGAAATTTTTAACTATAATTTATTGAAAGCAATTCGATGTGAGAAGACACGTGTGATCGAAAAACGAAGTCAAAGAATCCAAGTCAGTCTCTCTTTTGAGTAAAACCAAGCAGCATAGAGCCTAAATAAAATAATGAAAACAAGACTTGATCCCTCGAAAAAAACAGACATGAAAGGAATGGCTTGGCTTCTATTGCACCCCAGGCACACAGACCTCAAGTAAGCTTTTCAATGACTGGGATAAAATAATTAGCAAGTAATTAGGATCAACATTTTTAACGATTGATCAGAACAATATCCAAGTGAAGATTGAGCGATGTTTTCTTGACAATTCATTAAATAACAAAATTATAAATCTTTCAGGCATTTGCTTCCATAGTTAAGATTTTTGTCGGTAGGAGATAAGAAAGCTTTTGCCGCCTCGTTTAAGATTACGAATAATACGAAGCCATTGTTCAGCACGAATGCACAAACAAAAGTACAGCAATAAAGCACAAACAGTCTAGGTTCTATTCGTATCACTCTTATTGCGCAACTTTTTGCCAAGTTTCTGAATAAGAGGGACCATCATCACGGCTCAAACTTTCCAGCTTTGCTGCTCACCTGTACAACAAGACAGCAAATCTGCACAAGTGAGCAATATGCTGGAAAGAAGTCATGAGAACTGTTAATGTTTTTACACTTCAATGTAAAAGTTTTTAGTTATATATATGCTCGTCTTGGAAAGATGGTAAATATTTAGTTGTCTGTGATATTATTGATCACAAGCGCCTTAAGTAGACATAAGTAAAAACGGTTCAATCGCGTACGTACAGTATTTTCGGTGCCGAATGCCCTATCGCGGCCTGCGCATTTGTCGTTGTGTGATATTTTACTTAGCATTATCTAAGCTCTACAATTTATTTCAAATCTTAACAGCAATCATTGTAGCTGATTGATATTTGGCCGACTTTCATTGTTATTCATTTTTATTCAGAAAATATATTGTTTCTCGACGCACATAACGAAGTTTCTTTTACTAACGCAGTGGGAAACTCTCGAAGACTGAAGCTTAGTGCGCCTGGTCGAACATCACATATTTAGAGGACGACGGAGCTGACTAGTCTCTTTCAATTTTTTCTTATTTTTTTCCAAAAAAACTCAGGCTCCATTTGATTTTTTCAACGACATAAATCGTGAATACTTCTACCCCTGTGTAAATTTTCTCCGATTATTTCTTAATGAAATACCTCAAGTTATACTATGCATGTTCATCGACTGAACTAGACTTCGACTGAAATTTTATTTTCTGGGTTCGTGCCAAACCCGAGAGTTTTGGCAAAAAAGTGTAGATGGCGCTCGAAGGAAACTTTCTGAACTTGAAAACAAGACTTCCTTCTTATAACTGCCATTAAATCTTCATGGGACCTATGGCGCCCTACTCTCAGCTAATGCCTCAATCCTTTTTTTTCAATTACATATGAAAAATCCTACCTTCAATATGATATATATAATTTCATCCTACCTTCGAGTTAAAAGGATAAATGATATACTAGCACTTTGACATGAAGGTTTTTTATCTCTTGTTGGCACGAGGTGAATGTTAACGACCAATTTTGATATACAAGATTGACACACAAATTATTTGAATTTCAAATTCCTTGAGATTTAAAACATGATCTTATACTGAAAGCCACTTATCACTTATTCGTTTCATAATACACAAGAAAATCGATTTCGAATTCGGTCAAAGTCATAGCTCCTATATAGTTTCCAGCGCAACTCAACCAAGTATGCAAAGTATGATGCAATAAACGACTTATGTTAATGTGGTTGAGGAAACATGCAAATACCGACGAGAAGAAACTCTTTTTACTACGTCCCTTGCCAATATTACAGATATCCTAACCCAAATAAATGTATTCGGTTCCAGGGGAAAACAGTATTCAGCGTCAACAATTATGGAACCAAGAAATTAGTCTTGACATGAAAGCCTTTCATTAGGTCAATTATTTCCATGGAGAAGTTCTCAATATTTATTTCCACATCATTTGAAATTGTTTTACATGAGAAGCAATGCTCAAAAATAAATCTCACCAATATTTAATAAGATAAACAATGCAAGTGGCCATCTGTTCTGTCCCCAATAAAAGCTACTTCGATTTGTCCCAATGGCGGGCCAAGGCTGAGGCGATCACGGTCCAGTAATATATTGGCGAGCCGTTTTAGTTGCGGCTCCATATCTTGCAATCAAGCGTTAGTGACTTCCTAGAGACGTCGATCCATTTCCGGGAAGAAGTAAAAAATGTTTCTCCCCCCTTTCCGTGTTGAGTTGTTCAGCTTCTTTTCTGTTGTTTTTGGTTTGGTTCCTTCTCTCTATTATCTCAAACCAAGATAAATGTTTTGCTGCTCTAGTGCGTTGCTTGCTTGACGATCAATTCGTTTTTATCAGGGCAGACTGATACATAATAAAGTATGAATGAAATGTGGTGAAATAGATGAAGAATAATCTCAATTAAATTGCAAAGCAGGCAAGATCTAATTCAGGGGCTCTCAAACAATGAGAGCGCCCCACTCAATAAGAGGGTCGCAAATACCAAGCAATTAGGGCGTGGGGGAAAAATGAAAAGGAAATATTTCATTCCCGTCTTACGATGTTTTCTCCATTGACAATAAAAATAATTGCAGCGACCTGGCAACAATGACAATTTATAGTAGTGGTCAGGTACACATCGTATACAACAGTGTTCGGAGCACAGGGCACATTCATGCATGCAGTGTCTACCGGCGTGTAATGCCCGCAATTATGACTTAATTTTTTATTTGTGCTCTAGCTTCATTTTAGACTATACGTAAATTACATTTTGAATAGTTATGGAGATAACTTTTAACATGATTTCCATGTCCATCCAAAGAATATCAAGATAATTACATGGAAGCAGCGCTCCGGTCAAGTTTGACCGTAGTCTGAGCGAAGACTGCTATACCGAAGATCAGCTTTGCATTCTGAACGTGTTTTTATAATTGAACGTGGGCTGGGCGTATTCACTCAGCTGACCGAGAGCTTTCATGCATAGCTTTCCTGTGCCGCAGTTCTCTACAAACAAAATAAAGGTTCTCAAAGAAGAAATCAATGCAGAATATGTTCAAGTGAAGCAATTTGATCCATCAACCAAGTATTGAGTAATTGTGCAGAGATACCTTACGGTCCTCTTCTTCTCTCAAAGATTGCAAAAAAGAGACTGTTCTGTGTTTTAATTTTTGTCTGTCTTCTGTGTTTTAATTATTACTTTTAATTCAAGTGATGAGGTGCAAGGGCTAACTTATCATCACTTCTTGAACGTTGTGTCTTCTGAATGTATTGGTTTGATTCAATGTAAAATATCCGGGTACTCTGTCTCATAAAATTGAAGTGTAATTTATCCAAATATTTTTGATGGCGCTATAAAAGAGACAGTTGTGGGAATTAAATTTTACGCTAATTCGAAGAGGGGGAATGGAAAAAAACGTTGAGAAACACTGCCCTAGGAGACATCAATTTATACCCCGGTCACTGCGTAATTCCCCTTAAATCTTCTTTCAGCGAACCTTACCTTATTATCAATTTCACATGAGATAGTTAATTTAAACCTTGTTTGATTATGTGGTGCTGCCTATTGATGCTTTCCCTTTATCCATATCAAGAGTGAAGAAATAATCAGAACTAATTAATTATTACGAGAGCCAGATCTCATATCTCGAAATTTTTTAAAGAATTTCTAACTCTAAAGCTATTATTCTTGGCAGTTCGCTCATTAATTGGTAGAATTAATTTAATAATTCTATTCTCAATGATTAACCGTAAAATTATTTTACTAAAAAGAGTTAAAGTTTGATAACCGAAAATTTTTTATTTCATTTCATTGGATGTTGATTTATGAGTAGAAGGAGGAATTTTTTATCTTTTCGTAAGATTCTTCTCTCACTGAATAATCAAAAAGCAATTTAATCCTAAAAATATCGAAGAGAATTTTTGAATTTACTGCTGTGCCTTCCAACATGTTATTGGTATCGCTCTATATTGAGCACGGCAAGCCTTCTTTTCTCCTGTACGAAAGCTTCCATCGATGTAAGCGTAGAAGGCTTGGAGAAAATGGCTTCGCGTAGTAGAGGTGAATTTGATATCTTCGGTTGCCTACGAAATTTCCTCGAAGAAAAAGTTATTCCATCGATATCTGTATAGGTTTACAATGATATCTCCTGCAGACACTGTGCATGGGAATGGAAGACTATGAGCCTAGTATTGCTGAATTAATTTACAATATACCTTATCTCATGGAAAATTATAGATATATGTTTTTGATTTTCATACAGTGAGTACCAAATTTCGTATTAATTTCATTATTATTCAGAAGGGATTGAATTATGGACAAAATTAACATCGTACACCACATCCGCGTGACACAATAAAGCGGGATGCGAGCGTGAAGTGTCATATATTTTCCAGTGCGTTAATTCCTTTCAGAAGCAAACTGCTCTCGTCGCAGTGAATTTACGGCCCTAAATCAAAAGAATGCCTCTCATCAAAAGCTCGTCAAGTTCTACAGAGACCAAAGCAAAGTTAAGGTGCTGTAAGTTTGTAGACAAGCGCTAAAAAATTCCGATTTGAATGAAAATGAGAATAGAGGCTGGCAACGCATCGTCACTGACTTCAGGAAATTCTTGACAAGCTTCTATAGCGTAGAGTTTGAGCCTTGCGAAGGCTCGTTTTTGATCATAGCTTCAAGAGACAAGAAATTGTCTATATTCTCCTTCAAAACCATATCCACAAATCCATAATACCGAATTTCTATTTCATTTTTATCATATGTTAGTGAAATCCTCGGCTTCAACTAACGGATTAAAAAGATAATCAATTACTCGAGAGTAAAAAACCTGAGAAGTAAATTATTTTTTTTTAGGATTATGAAAAAGTTTCCTTAAACGTATTTTTCCTTCGGAAAATGCGAAGGTCATTAGTAGTCTGGCGAGAATGAAGTTAAATGTAAATGCCTCAAAGAATGAGTTCAATTTCCATAAATATCTCCCGTATGTACTTAAATAAATTGAAAATTATTATGTATATATGAGCGACCATTTTTGATATCCGAAAATCGGATATGAGGATAATACGAGTGATCATTAATTCATCATTTTGGGCATTAATTTGGAGAAATTTTCTATTCTCCGAGTCCATTTCTAAAATACTAAAATCAGGATAATTGATGAGTAAATCAATCTTTATTGGATCCATAGTGATTATATTGGGTGAAGATTCACTGAATATTATATACCCAAATATAATAGCCATAGAAAATGACTACAATTTTACAAGGCAACGGCTTTTTGAGCCAATAGAGAGTAAATTCAAACGCTTTATCATAATTTTCTTCAAAATTTTGATCATCCTAATAGCATTGCAGTTCGGCTCGCGTCCCATAATACAGTAAGCAAAGCAACGCAATATGCTCAGCTACAAGTAAATGCAACGAAGTTTTAGAATAATCCTAATTTACATGCATAAGAAATGAACAAATTTACACTTGCATTCGTCGGGACGAAGCTCTTGCAGTAGCTAAGCCTAGTCGACAGCATTTGCTCGAATGCGTTAGGATTAAAGCTTTCAAGCTTCTTCTTTCAAATCATGGAACCATATTCATTTTAGAACCGAATGTCAAATTTCCGTTTATTATTATAATATCATAAATGAATCAAAGGCATATTCTCACACTAATATTTCATGTAAAGTCATTTATTAGCATGCTCGTATTTTTGTAGTACTAAAAAAGGAAGTAACGAGATCCGCAGTTTCGTTGAACATTTGATGATTCATAAAAGAACTGGCATGTACCGAGTCCGCGGAGTAAAAAATAAAGCAAAATCGCCGTGCAGCATGAGCTGCCATTACTACAATACAAGCTACAATACAATTCCATGGCACTACGAAGAAAGGAAAAAGCTTCGAATGGGGAGTGGATCCTTGAACTTTACTATAAGGTTTTACTTGCCTTGACGTCTAATTGAAATGTTGCCCCCTTCAAGCGATGACGTTTCCCATTTCTGGCTTTACGCGTTCAAAGAAACTACAAATTTAAAATCTGCTGCCAATTTTCTGGGCCATACACACTAGCATTTTGAAAATAATTCAAAAAGAAGCAGAAACCAAGGAATAGTCGTATTTTTCCAGCGGGTTGGAGTTGGCAAAGGAAGGTTTTCATTGAAATCAATATCGGAATCACAGCCAGCATTTATGCTAGTGTTCTTGAAGGTATTTTTCTTAATAAATGAATACACATAACAAAAGTTTCATAATTGTCATAATGAACGTTTTCATGAGATTTTGAACGATTAATTCAGACTTTCATCGAACGGCTGAATAATATCGATTTTAGGAATGGTAAAGAAGGATGGTAAACCAATTTTATTCACATTCATAACATGTAGGTGAAGAAAGCTCAAGTCATTATAGCGGATGAATACAAAAAGTAACAATGCCACGTTAAATTTAGAGTGCTGACGAATACACTGTAATTCTGAACAGAAGTAATTAATTTCAATTATTAAATTCAACCCACAGAGTGCATAAGGTATAATCATGAGTTAATTGAAAATTCGAGTGAAACTTACATTAAGAATACCTTAATTACCGATATTTCTAGAGCAAAGCGAGCTGTAGCCTACCGTTAAAGGCTTCGTTTCACTTTTCCGATTTCTTCGGCGCGTCCAAAAACATTGATCAACAAAGGACTGAACAATATGGGGCTTCTTTAGAGCGTAAGCAATCTCGAGTTGCTTTATCTGAAATTAACTTAAAATTTCAAAAAATTATTTCAAAACATATTCAAACTAACTGGAATAGAATAGAATCTAATGAAAAACTTACATTGCATACAAAACTTTACACAAAAGAAGTGCCGATAAAACTACAAATTTTAAGAACGAGAGCTCAGCAAGCCTTTACAGACAATGCTCTGTATAATCTTTCGCCGACTATTATATTTTCCCTGACTTGTTTATTCGTCAAAATTTACCTACATAATTATATAGAACATATCCATATTCATATAGAACCTATACATAATTGTACATAGAACAGAGAAGATAACATTTTCCGTTTTCTTACAATTAAAACAAAATTCATAGCTAGCTTACAAAAGAAATTAAAACAAATTATAATCGTTATGTGAGTTCAGTTGTGATATTGCGGTTGATAACATGTTTAGAAAACAGCCCAATCAGTTATTGCCTGATCAAATAATAAACATTAATTATACGCTTTGAGGATTTAGTAATGGATTTTAAGTTTCTTGCTATTTAATTTCAGCAGCTTTTTCCTCCACCGTCGAAGCAAAAATCTGTGCAGACTTTCCTGCTGTCGAGCGCCGCGAGGTCCGAAGACGTCGCCGGGTCCCCGTCGCCAGCAGCTGAACTCTCGGCCCGCGCCCACGACACCCGCTTGTTGCTCGCCGCGTCTGAGGGCAGAGAGGGCCGTGACCTATCGCTGGAGAAAAGCTGCCCCGAGGGTAAAGAAACAAAGAGATATTTTGATAGGCGTTACACTAAACTCCTGTCTTAGAATCAAAAAGGTTGGTCTTAAATGGAATTTACGTGTTGAATGTACTCGTAATCCTTCAAAAATCTAGCAAAATTATAGTAAACTTGACTAAATATTTTTATTGATTATGCAATTGGAGTGCTTGGAAATAATAATGAACTTTAATAATTACCATATATAGGACACTAGTAAAATAATTGTTATTTTTATGTCATTGGCGTTTCAATCTTTCCTTCTTGATAAATTGAAGAGCATCCCCAAATGGACACCGGAAGAAATGCAAGAAGAATACTGGTAAAATGCAAAGGATTTAGCGCGTTAGAAATAAAACTCCCATCGAGAGATAAAAAAGGAAATATTTGCACACTAAGGCGTTTATAAGCCGAGCTCCACAAACACCATTGGTGAAAAAGTCTACAGCTTCAGGAGAGCATTCCTTTGAAATGTTCGTCAGTTTTGCAGACTCAGCAGTTTTGTCTTCTGAGCTTGCAAATGCCAACAGTCGCCGTCCTGGCCAAGCAATTCAGGACGTGAGCAAACTTGTTAATGTCGGAGGGGACGCCGGGGCACAAAATTTACGTGTAAACATCTATCGCCTTCAGAGGTCATTGCATGGTGGTTTTACCAATGAGTGCATTTATTTGAATATGTGACCATATATATAGTCAAACAAAACGATATAGTACAGAAATATATTGAAAGAGAGTTGAGCGGTTAACACGTAATCCGTAGCAAAGGAACAAAAATTAACGCTTCAACCAGAAGAAACGGAAGTAACTTATCGCATTCTTAATTATTTTCCGCATCCCAAATCGTCTTGCGTGAACTTTAGTGATCAACAGACTGCAGCTTTTAAATGCATATAAAGCGTAAATAATTTCTGGGATATTCTACATAACGATGATAAATATTTTCCAACTTCAGCGTGGGGAAGAAGTAATTAAACTGACGTAAAATAATTTTATTGCAAAGCATGATGTCTCTTTTCGTTAACTGTTTTCGTCAACGTGCCACGTACAGACTTTCATGTGCTTGTTTTCCAGGCAAATCCCCTTTATTAAGCAGGGAACTACAATACCCATCTAAAAAATGTCTAATTTCATGAATAGCGAGTGTCGGGGAAATTAATGTAAGCCCGACCGTAACATACGGGATCGTCCCGTAACTGGTAGTTAGTAAGTAATGTTAGTCCATTCTTCTCATTTGTGTCAGTCAATCACTAGCAAGCGTTCATATCACATGTCAACTATTCAATCTGTGTCTCGTCATTCATATGCCTGTTACTACTTCAATGTCCGTCATGTGTAAATAAACCATTCTAAACCATCGCCGACTTATAGAACCTGGGTTTATTCCATTATATAGCAAGCCCTAGCTATACCGTCCGCCACAGCGATAGAGGTCGAACATGTTCGGTGGATGTGTCACATCATTAGCATTTAGTCTACTCATTTAGGCAAGGAAACGTTTCTGTGTGATGTTGACACAGTGAAGAATTGACAGCACTGCAATAGCTGTCGCTATGAATTAAAATTCTACCTTTTTTGCTCCAATCCTTTATGAGCAAAATTCCTATTGGTCTGTTAGCGTAATTTGCATAAGCCACAAGTTTATTTAATTGAGAGAGGTTTATTGCATAATGAACGCCTGAGCAACATAGAGATTTTAGCTGTTAATTCTAAGCGGCCAGTTTAATTGGAACTTTAAAACGATATTATTACATGCGAAACAGTGAAATGAGGGCACTTTACAATGTTTAGCGCCCATTTGCCAAATAATAGAAAAAATTTTGTTCATATTAATTCTTAATTAAACAGCTATCATGAACTCCAAGAAATGTATCGTTTCATTGATTTCTGATGTATTTTTCAAGTGGTCACATTCTGCAGCATATAGTCGTAATGCACATTACACTTTTAATATGACGATAACACTCTATTCTAATATTAATATGTGTGTCTCAATATTTGGTGAATTTTGTTCTGGCTAAATGTTTTTAGCTGATAGAAACTCGATAGGCAATGCACAATGTAAAGCCTATAAGCAAGGGTGCATTCATTCAATTATCACGCACTATAATATCATTATATTTTCGATTGAAGTTTTTAACTCTTTTTCTATATTTGAAAGTTTATTCTTAAAATCAGAATTTCAAAATTCACATCATTATGATTCCAATCAAGTCCAATGAAATCTGGTAACGCATGAAAAAAATGAATAAGAACTAAGGTGCATCTTCCGTAAAGGTTTCATGACCATGCAAGGTTCTTGCTCTAAATGAAGTGCCTCCGGTATATTCTGCTGATCACTCAAAGGAAGACCGGTAGATATCGATCGCTGGATGACAAATGATCAAGCTATCGGACCAAGCCTCTTCCGACACATAACTCTACAGCTTATTCAGAGGTTCTTCCCTCAGCGGCAAAGAAAGACGATCTTTATTGACGGAGCTTCGCTGATTGATTGAATCCTTTAGGACTCTTGGTAAAATTCCTCCGACCCCCAGGAATGTACATGTATTAGATCGGCCTCGCGTCTGCTCTGGCACAAACGACGGGAAGTTGTTGATGAGAAGAGGTTGAATCGCAAATACTAGGGTGAAGTATTTCTAATGCGGCCATGAACGTAAACTTTCATTGGTCGTAAAACATCGCAATTCGAGGTATTGAAGGGAAGCATCTCAAATTTGTCTAGTCCTAAATGCGATGTTAAAAAATTAGAAAAGCAAGCCATTAGAAATTAGAAAAACACTTTTTAGAAATGAGAAAGATCCAAACATTCTGCAACGTTATGAAGACCAGCATTATCCATCGAGCAATTCAGTTACTGGTCAACATGACTCGAAAGGACGAACATCAGAAACATAATACAATTGGGAATAATTTTGTTATCAAGTCAAGCATCTACAAACTTAATAATATTATTACCTATAATATCGTCGTCATTGCCGAGTACTCCGTTGAGAGTTCAGAACAATTTTAAAAAAATGAATTGCCCGTCAATTCAATTTACACCGAATTTTTTCTGCGAAAACATCCTAATTTTATTTTTGATCAAAAATTTTAACTAACATTCCACACGGATTCCTAATCTGTAAGGTCAGTAGAAGAAATCTCGTCCTCGGACACAGCAACGTTTGCTGTAAGAACAGGTACGGCTAACGTATTCACCAATATTCGTAGCAGAAAATTGAGTTCGTTTACGTTCTAATATATAGAAACAGTTTTTAACTGGCGTTTTTAGCTCACTTTTTGTAAGGGACGTTGGTCGTGGCAGCGAGCCGACGTCGAGAGCCATCGCCTGGAGAGGAAGAGCGACGTTAGCGACCTCTGTCAGGGGCGCGCGAGTCACGCTTCCTGTCGGAGACCGTAAACTTGCTTCTGCATTAGCGACTGCAGGGACACTAACTGCATCAGCACAATCTGCACAGCCGACCTCACCAGCAGCATCACCAGCATTACGGCCCAGAGTAGAAGCAATGGTCTTTAGCTTGGCTCCAATGCAAAGTTTGCTGTAATCGTCTTTCCGTCTGTCAGTTTGTAATTCAAATTGTAAGTTTGGTCCACCGATGTTGACAAAATCAGTGGCGAGGAGGCACGCGTCAGTGCCGCCATGATCCTGCAACTCGAGATCAGCTGATGGCAGCTCCTGGTCTCGACCGCTCGACTTGACCCGTCTTTTGTGGCAAGCAAAACACAGAGCGAAGACCAACACACCTGCAGCATAAATAACGAGTAGTTGTGAGTAAGGAGTCCAGACAACTTTTATAATACTGGGAATGATAATTGGATAATAATTTGTGCGTTTGTGATCATTGTTTCTTGACTGATAACTGTAATTTAGTGATGCTTTCGAGCTGATTGAAAACTTTTAGTGAATGACAGGGAATTCCTGCGTGATAAATTATAAGCGATCATTGTTTTTCGGGTGATTAATTGCAGGTGCATGACGATTCTTTGGTAAAGGGGGTAATTAGAGAAAAGATCGTAGGAGTAGGTACTGAAGATCAAATTTATTATATAGATAATATATTGGCAAAAAGGCTTCCACTAACTTATGAGGTTTTGCTCTAAGAGATGTTTGATTGCTCACTGAATATTCCATATGTCATATAAGTTTTCGTGTATCGTAGAGAAAATTACGAGAAACACACATGAAAGATGAAGCACTGGAGTGAAGGGAACTCACAGAGCAGCACCGCAGCGGACGAGAGCGCCAGCGCCAGCAGCAGCAGAGATGGCGGAGGGAGCAGAACGCCTCCTTCCATCTCCGCCGCCTCCTCGCAGTACGGCCCCCGCGCGCCAGAGGGACATTCACATCTGAAACCTGCAGTAGAAAACTTATAATTATATGACATTAACGCGCATATAAAGGAGTTAATAAGAGGAGAATGTTCTTACGTTCTTTTTTTCAATCAGCTTACCAGAGGTTTGTTCGTCTCTTCAATTAATTCATTCGAACACTGGCTTACAATTCTGTAATGTTTATTGACATGCCAGCTTTAAAATATTTATCCTTCCATCAAATCAGATGGACAAATTTCTTGATCGTAGTAACGAATTATTTCCAATCATGCCTCCATGTCGTCATATTCTAAATCAGTATGACTGCGGTGAACCACCTCTAAAAATGAAAAGCGAGACTTCGGGAGGCATAGCTGAGACAACATCTCAGAAAACATGTATTACTAATTTCAGAAATTTTTGAAATAAATACCCGGAAAAATTGGGTATTTTTGCTGCAAAAAGTACGAGAAACAAACCAAATTAATGAAGTCGCATATCATTAAAAGTTATGCAGGCATTTAACACTGAACAAGAGCGCAATTGAGGTCATTGTAAGCATAAATACGACTTAATTAAGGACTGCGTCCAATACAGAAAATATCTTGAGTGATCAAAAAGGTTGGCACACAAAAGGAAAAACAAAAAGCTTTTAAACCTTTACTTATATCTTTATTAGTGTAGTTTGGCAGAAGCTGTTCTTTAATGCAGGTTTCGTTGAAGACCAGAGAGTATTTCTTATTGACAATTTTCTTATTATTTTTCTCGATTCGGCGAATTAGGCTCTTGATAGGAAGTGAAAATCCAAATATCAGGTTTCCAAGGGACATTTTATTATAATTTTACGACGTTTCGACTGCAACTTCATTCATTATCAAGTAGAGGACGAGTTTTGCAACAAGTGAATTTGAAATTTTGAAATGACAATAGTACAAACATAGGGTATTATGGATACAGATTGGAATCAAAGCTTGAATTACGAGAACAATTTTAACGTCCTGACAAATCCGGTAGTTTGTAAATAGAGGAGAGGTTGATATATCCATCAGTAGAATGCGGAAGACTTATATCTCCTCGGTACAGGCGATTTAGTTTACGAAGAGTCCTGAGTTTCACGCTGTTGTCGTAGGTATCCAGAAGCCTGCTTAGTTCATCGGTAATCTGGAGATGAAGTTGAGGGCTTGGGATGTATTCGGTTAGACGAAATTTGGATTTTCACTTCCTATCAAGAGCCTAATTCGCCGAATCGAGAAAATAATAAGAAAATTGTCAATAAGAAATACTCTCTGGTCTTCAACGAAACCTGCATTATATCTTTATATACATAATCCTTGGATGTGGTCATGAAGACAAACTGCACGAATCAAGTGGTAACAACCGCATTACAGTCCGAGATAATTCAAACACATCTTCCTGCGTTCTACTCTCAAAAATACGATCATAATTTTTCTTACGCATCAACATGCTCGGTAAAAAAAAGCCTGAATCAAATTAAGAAGCTCAGATACGAGACTAGCAATAAATTTCACCTCGCAAGACCTTCGAAGCGACACAAACTTATGGCACCAACTTCTGATGTAAAATTAAAATCTATACATACGTAGATACGCGTTGACCTGTTAACAAGGACTTACGTAATTATTGGAAACTAAGAGCTTTAATTCGTTAGCTTTGCCATAATAGATCGGAAGCGCAGTTTTTTGATCTTGTAATGGTACATTCATCCATTTTGGTAGATGTATTATATTTTGAACATCAAGTATCTAAAAAAATAAATCATCAAAGAAAAACAACAAAATTCCTCAATAAGTGTCCCAAAAATTTCATCAAAATCCAGCTTATATAGTTATGTCATGCTGGAATCGCGGAATAGCCGATTCTATGGAATCGGCAGCCAGTTTACCGATTCTTTAGAATCAGTATTTCGTTGCTGATCCACAAAATCGGACGTTAGAGTTAGAACATAATTAAGTCGACAGCTAGAGTTAGAAAAAGTTAGATCAAGTTCGGTCAAGTTCCTTTGTATTTAAATATTTTAAAAAAAATAACTTGGCTGACTGACCTAACCCCAGATTCCTATAGTAAACAAACGCTGATTCTACAGAATCGGCAAACTGGCTGACGAATCCATAGAATTGGCAATTCCGCGATTTCGGCACTACAGTTATAAAAAAAACATCTTAATAAATGAAGTAATTAATAAAGTAATCAGTAAATCGAGGAAATCCACCTGCATTCAACGCGCTTGCAAAAACTTTCATTCTAAAGTCCCAACGCAACTCAATGGTTTACCCCGGCCCTTTTTCGGCATATTAATGCAAGTTTATAATGTTAAGTTCTTCAGCAATTTATATCGGAATACTTCCTCCGTCAAAAAATTGAAAACACCTAAAGTGTAGCATACTGTCATTGCATTTAATGCTCTTTGGAAATTCGCTTATGAAATCTCTGAAGACTACATTAAACGTTATAATGAATTTTCGAATTGTCGTATGTTCGATGTACCGCGTAATAACACCTTTTATACACTGCACGAACACTACAGATATTACTGGTGTGTTAAATTTACAAGCTCAATGAAGGTAGGCCGTTTAAAGTGAATGCTGGTAGCCAATACATCGATGAAAAATCAATAAGTTTGACCGAGAGCCTCAGTTCTACAGAAGCCTCAAGTTTCACGCCGTTTCCCGACAGACTTTAAGGTAGGCAGGTTTAGAAGAGCTCACGTGACTGCTCCTTAATGGCCGATAGAAGTGATGTTATGGCATGAGCGGGGTAATTTTCAGGTGCACTCTAAAATCGTTTTTCTTTGATTATCTATGAGAAAAAAAAATAACTTTAAAGTAGCAAAAATGTATGCTATAGCCTAAAGGTAACGTTAAATTTTAAATAATGCAATTTCCTTCGAATAAATTATGTACAGACATTTTTTTAAATTATTAGTTATTAAGTGAAGAATATCATATATGAGGGTGGCGTTATTCCTAAATTGTGAAGTGAAATCAACTTTTCATTTCATGAGCTAGCAAAAAACTCGCAACAACGACGTAAAGGACGAGCAAGCCTTCGTTTCGAGATCGACATCGATTAAAGAGTCTCACTAAACCTATAATGACGACAAGCTCTCGTGTATGAAAGCCCACTCTGAAAACAGCCTTCATTATCGCACGAGACATTTGGCCAACGTTGTAGACGCTGAGGTGGCGCATAGAAAAGTTGGACGAAGAGGCATCTAATTATCGGAGATATTAAGAGCACGGCCACAACACTGGCACGAAGATGTTCACCACATCGAGCAACTATCAGCTCATCTCAATCCACGATATTGGCATGATTTCAATTTTCTGTATTTTGCCACAGATCATAAGACATGATGAAGCAATTCCTCAAAAAATTGCATAGTATTTAATAAAAAATTATTCACAAACAATCAATTATTAACTTTCTAAGAGAAATTCAAACATTTCATTTCTAAGAGAAATTCAAACAAACATTAGACGACAAAAAATATTAATAATATAAATCTTTTTATTTTAATCGTGGTTAACAGGAATTAAGGCGGAAATTATTTCCTTAAAGTCGATGGTATTTGAAGTCTCTATTCAACGAAGTTAGAGTTATCGGAAGAATGTTGTACCATTATCCCTTAAAAACAATAATTAAGTACTAGTCTAAGAATCATGACTTGATAAAACAAATAATAACAAATAATATTCAAGGTATACAAGAAGAGAGAACGGACCGCTCACCTCCCGGCAGGTTGTGGCAGGTACCCCCTGCCAGGCAAGGGCGCCAGAAGCACTCGTCCACATCCAGGCAGCGCAGGCCATCCCTGGACACCTGCAGGCCTTCAGGGCAGCTACGAGGGATTACAGTTAATTTATAAGTTAAGTAGAAGGAAGCTATTCAAGTACCATTCATTAATTATTATGTTAACCGTCGACTGCCGTCCAATACAGCATAGGCGGGCAGGTACTCGACCGTATTGAGTTGAAAACAGAACTAATGGCCGAATAACTGAGAGGACAACTCTATCATTAAAAATATTCCACCGCTCCGCTAACATTTTAGCAACACGAATAAAAGGCTAAAATTATGTCCCCTTGCAAGCCGCACTTGCCTGCAAAAGACTTCATTGCCGTGGTTGGCGCAGACAAAGGGCGCGTCGCAGGACAGGAAGTTTTTGTTGCTGTCCGGCAGCGGCTGGGTCGATGAGCGCAATGTGTCTCGCGAGGCCAGCAAGCCACTAGACCCGAGCCTCGACTCGACGTGAACTTGAGTGAATCAAAATTTAATATCACTTGCTTAGGTAACATGGATTCCAGCGATATTGTTACCAAAACCTAATGATATTATGTAAATTTCATATGAAGATCGCATTTACGTCTATTGCCATACTACAAAAAATATACGATAATCGAAGAACAGGTAGTTCAATTTTATCCGCAGAATGCAGAAGCGAAGCAACAAATTACACCAGAATTTGCTATTTGCCTCCTACTTTACCCACGTTTGGAACTCCTGGTCGCTCTGATAGGCACGGTTTGGTCAATGCACGGCAGCGTCACGGCACAGCCGACCGTCACGTTGCGCTCTACGGTCAAGGCCGCCCACCGCGAACGCTCGTCCCCCAGAGGCAGACGACGGCCCTCGTACATCACATCGCGCAAGCAGCCTGTTCGTAAACACGTTAAGAATGCAAGTACAATGAAGGACAATAGTCTGGCGTTGCAATAAGAGCTCGTTTGTTTTGTGAGACAGATCGATGCATTTTTATCGCCTTCTAGAAAAGATGGACGATTCTGAAGCGCAATTTCGACGTCTGAGTGCCGTCTGATGTCAACGTTACTTAAGGCAGATGCATTTGACATAAATCAAGTGGCAAAGTTACTTTGAGCCAATTTGAATTGTGTAAAACTGTAATGTTCTTATAAACTATTAATTATAATCATTAAATCAGTAATCAATATAAAACCAATACTTCAAATTTGAAGCTGAAAAGATCATCACATGCCTTACAAAAAATGAAAAACATTCTAATAAAATAAAGTACGCATGCATGAGCGCAAATTTATTTTCAAAAAACCTTGGAGCCACGTAGGATAACAATCACTTAAAGTTTATTTCAAACCTTCAAAGTACTCATTTTGAGTGCCTGAGACTCCCTGTAGCAATGACAGCCCGCCCAGCACGACTCCCTCTTGCTGGTGCACTTGCAAGCGGCCACGGTCATGAGCGTCAGCAGCATCTGGTGGGCGTCTTATAGCGTACAGACCGTCATCCGTGTCGTCAGCCGCAAGCTCCAGCACTCTGCCATGTCTGGCACAGGATAAAGTCGATCTTTCACACTTTCAAATGTGTGGACATAGCTCTTATCTCTGAATTGCGTGTAACCATTATTTTCGAGATAAAATATGCTGTTTTGTACTCATTGTCAATTGAATTAGATTTTTGATGAAGCCCAGTTACTTCGGGTGCATCATTGATGGTCTTCCGCAAAAATAATTCAAATCAAAAGATTGCAAAGCTCAGTACACTTTCTTAATTACTCATTATTTGATTTAGACCTTTATTTCATGCTTAAAGCTAAGTGAGCCTTGAAAATCTTACTTGCTAGGCGCCAAATTTTGGAAAATCTCGTTAGGGCAGAACTCAAACATTAGATTTTTCCAGAGATGAAAATTCGTTAAAATCACCAGCGAATAATCTCTAGTCTAATCTTTTTAATAATCCCTACCTCACCGAAACCAGCCGTACCAGCAGAATTCTATTTAATGGAAAAAAATTCTTTGAGGCGTAACACTTCGCTGGCCATGTGAGGTAACTGCGTCCTATTTGGATCATTTAGTGGCATATTAAAGCTCTGACGGCGCGGGAACCGAACACAATCTCGCAGCGGGAAGCTCTTTGTGTTTCCGAATACAATTTAGTATATGCAACGTTAGTTCATTGCAGAGAAGCAGGGCACAGCGCCTTCCTGCCAATGTAGAGAATATATGCACCCCCACTGGGCAATAACTTCATCACCAGCCGCCACTTTGAAGTGCAAATCACATCACGTGACACGACAGAGCGCCGGGTAATTTTCTTGGCTTCCTCGTTCAAGCTAACCGAGGAGTATTATTTATAAGGAAATTCAAATAAAAAACTTGCGTTGCTGATTATTCTTTTGCAAAACAACTATGAGGTCAGTTAATGTATATTTGTTCCTTATGTTTATATACATTTCATTTGTTTCCAATTGAAAATAATTGGAAAATGCTAACCAATTAATTAACGACATATAAAACATCGAATTTCCAAAAATTGAGTTAGATCTTGGACAAGACCGTTGTAAAGCTAGCAGCTGGTTCACATATCGGAAAAAATCTGGTACTTCATACTAAAAAATTTCTTCGTTCAATAATAATGGTCTTAAGCTCAAAGCATAAATTTCGGCACAGTGTCAGGAAATAACATGTTTATTCTGCACACAGCGTTGTACCTGTTAAGCCTCAAGCGATGCCAACGCGCGTCATACAGAGGGCGCTTGAGACACACGCTCTCCAGGTGTCCGGACGAGTGGAGGTAGAGTGAAGCGCACGGTCGGCCTCCCCGCATGTACAGGCTCAGTGAGTCGCGCGAGTGTCGCGACGTAAGGGACAACAGCTGACCGTCTGCTGACAACGTCTTGAAGCTGTCAAAGGAATGGAATATATTTTGCTAAATAAAAACGGGTTGCGAAAATTCACATTTTATGGCAATCGCAAAAAAAAAAATATCTGAGTTGAGAATGAGATTTCCCTTTTTTGATTACAATTGAATTCAAGCCTTGACACAAGTAACCTTCCTATTTTTTCCCCCTTCAAACCATAAAGGATGATCATGATAGCTTTAAAAATTATAACTGCGTGACGATCCCATCGATAACGATTACCCCAAATTCTTTCCTGGGTTTAAATTCTAGTGATGCATATAAATTGTTTCGCCCAATGCGCTTAGAGATTATTTCAGCACTTATTACGCCTGGTTCGTTCGATTACGTTCAAATTCCAGGTTCGACCCCTGGGAAGATCGGTTCTTCTTACCTTTGTTTTTTTTAACTATTGCAGCCTTTTTGAAAGCCTAGGCCAGCCATGAATATTTTAAGTGCGCTGATCGAGGCATTTCAAGTTGAATGTTGAATGGTAAAACTAAAGTATTCCGTGTAAAAATATTCGTTTGCCTATGAACAAGAGAGCTCATGAAAAATCCACTCTCCAAAAACAGCCATTCTTACAATGCAGACATTTGCAAAAAAAAGTTGCTAAAATGAATTTGCTAAAATGAATCGAAAAAGAAAATACTTATTCTTTTTGGAATTACAACTTAGATTTAAGACTGATTATCTAAAATAACGATGTTGCACAAAAAGCGAAAAAGATGCCTTATTGAATATAAACGAGAAGAATTTTCGAAACACTAAACTCACTGAGCCGAGAACAAACTCAAAAAGCTGTTCAAATTTGACTACGTAAGTCGAGACAATCCCCAAGACTGAGCGAAAGCCTGAGTCAGACGAAACCAAATAGCGTCATATTATTCACAGCACGTAACATTAGATATGCAAACACTTGGCAAGAACTGAAAACACATGAGCTCTCTTGACTTTTTTGTTGTATCAACACGTACCGACTCACCTCAACGAAAGAGATGAGGATTGTGTAGGCGGCGCGAAAGACAACGCGTAGTGAAGGGCGCTGTGTTGGCCTATGTGAATAGTCGAGCCGTCACGTGGAGGTTCAGAGTGGCAGGATGCGAACACTGAATCTTCAAGACTATTCTTTTTCGCTTTCCGAGCGCATTTGTGTCCATATTCATCTGACAAGCAAGAAGATCGCACTTCTGAGCAGTACTGGCACTTGTCAGAAGCGTTAAAGTTGGACCAGAAGAGCACCGGAATTAGTCGCCTCGTGTGTGGATGCCGGTGCATCGATTCGGTATGGTCGTAAAAATCGTTCGGTTGTAAAGTGACGCTGAAAACAGAAATAGGAGAGAATAATATTTGTAATACCAAAAAATTCAGTTAGCTACGTAACAAATTTTTGTGTATTATGGGAATTATTTATGGATTTGGTCAGAGCTAAAGTAGCAAAATACGCTTTTATCTCAATAGTCGAGTTGATCTGAGCTTAAGGATTCAGGCTGATCTTATATATATTCGACTATCAGGGATTCAAATCCAGTTGACCAGGGATTCAAAAAATTTTAACAACCAGTTTGAAATGCATATATTGCCCATTTTGCAGTGAAATTTACACGTTAGAAATATAAAATTATATTTTCTATTCACCCTGCCCCAGTTCCCGCTCAAGAATACCCTGCTATTTTCCGAGTTAGAATAAAAATTCAATACCAGTTAATACCTCGGCATCAAAAATAATGTGGATAAGCGGCCGAATAGCTTTTGTTCATTTGTCGTGCCGGACACATTAATTTTTCCGAATATTTAATGGACTGTTGGGTACGGCCGGGAAATGCAAACGCTTTGCGCATTAGGATCAAAAGTTCCGTTCTGACCCTACATTCTTTTATTTTAAATTCTCAGTAAATCAACCTTTCAATAAATACCTCGAATTGCTGCAGCGATCAGATAACTGACAGCCCACTGTCGTTCTAGAGCCCACAACTGCGCTCTCCCCCAAATCTAGAAGCTGGCAGACGTGATATCAGAACAAATAATTACTGTGGAAAATGTAGCAGCTTGGTAAGTATGAGTGGGTTATTTATTTAGAGATGAGAATAGTAAAATATAATGAGTTGGTGATCTAAACAAGTTGACGGCAAAATAAAATTAATCCGAAATGTAAATTCTTTATGTCTTCAATAATTTATGGCTAATTTAATTTTAGAGGAATGAGAATTATCGTTAACATTTAAATTAGCTACAGCCTGTCTTCAAAATAATTCACATATCGATCGGCTAACCAGTCACATGTTAAAATTGTGACTAAGCCATGATAGATTTAAATGTCAGGCAAAAAAACCATAGACTTTACATTAAGTGTTGAGACTTTGTTGAGACTCGCGCAGACTTTTTTCTTACCTCCGAGTTGACCCGCACTTGGGCGATGCATCCTCTGAAGACTTGAGCAGAATGGAATTTTTCCCTTTCTTTTTTGTCATTGCGATCGGAGAATAAATCAAGTGAAATACCTCCGAGCTGCACTGGAGCTCCAGCTCTCACGGGAGAGTTTTCCATCCCCAAATGAACGTCTGTTCTACACTCGGAAGAAAATATATCTAATTCAGCATTTTCGTCGAGATCGGCTCTATTTGGGTCATCAGACGATGTGATGAAATCTGAGCCGGTTTTAGTCCGGAAATATTCTTTGCGTTTTGAAGTTTTAGTGACTCTATCAGAGTCCGTCAATGGCTGTCGGAAATGCGTTGATATGATTTCTAGGCGCGCTGAAGAGTCCAATTTAGAGCTATTTTGCTGGAGTTCTTGAAGTGGTTGCTGAATCTCTTGCTCGTTGGACCGGCACAGATCCAGCATCAGAGTGGCCGTCTAGAAAAAAAGAATGTTTCTTCGTGTAGTAAATTGTAAAAAAAATTGTATGGCAACAAATCATAAAAATAATTTATTTTTAGAATGAGTGGCTAAACACAGGAAGCTTTTATGTCCGATTGAGGTATTTCCATTGTCAAGGATTTAAAAAACACTTTCAAACTTATACATGATATGCGAACCATGTTTTATTCTAAAAATTCCCTAAATTAAAAAAAAAATGGTATAGACTCTACACGAGAAAATTTTTTCTTATTTATCTGACATTTTAATTGAATATTTAGAAATAAAACATGTTAGAACCTGTATTAAATGGCTTCTTTACTAGGCTCCGTTAATGTTGCTAATCCCAAGAACTTAAATAGAGTTAGAGGAGAAACAAAACAAGGGCAGCATAGCACTGAATCTTATGCAGCTTATTTGCTGGGCTCCGTTTAACATGTCAGTTTCGGTAGCTTGAACATAACCAAAGGACCGACCCAGAGTGGCGGCCCAGCACTAGGACTTACCATTCCAAACCCACCAGTTTTGCCTAGCAAGAATGCGAATCAAGATCAAAATTGCAGCAAATGTGGTCTAATAATTTGTCCAATATATCGTTTATCTTGTGATATCGCAAGAATACATGAAAAGAGTTAACCGCCTGAGGTAATGATAACAGCATCTGCCATGTCCGGGAAGATTCTTTTCGAATTGAAGTAAAATTTTCAAAAGTTTTTTGAGATTTACGAATGGTGACTTGTCCGTTCTTGTATCTCCGGAAATAGAACTTTCGATAGTTTTGAATGTTTATTCCCTGAAAACTAATAATTTAAGTATTTCAAGGCCATTGGGAGTTATCACAGTATTCTAGGTCAGTACTAAATATATTGTCTTAAACAAGTATTATGCATACGTAACTAATAATTATTTAGAAAGACCACATACTCGGCGTTACAAAAAGTTTGATTCATGAGAATATTTTGCTAGGATATATTTACCACGCTAAGTAAGTTAATTCAGTTACATTTCAAACCACAAAACAAATTATTTCAAACTTACTCCATTTTTCCACCAGAAATCTACGCGATGCAACACGCCGGTATTCAATGGAGTTCGGCTTTTCAAACTTGTTGAAATTATCTTGTGTTTATTTGGTGACTTCAGTAGCAACTGAAGACTCTCTCGTTGCAGCTGAACAGCCAAAAACTTCTCATCCACTCCAGCAAAGAGGAGAAGGCCAGATCTGTGGTGAGTGATGAAGTAAAAGCTAATAAACAGAGATGAACAACTTGGCAGCGCTGACACCAGCAACGTGGATTCCTTCCACTCCGCTGAACCTTTATGTATGTGGCCACCGAACGAGCTGTTCGTTTGAGTGAACGCTACCCCAGAAGTTCCAGAGCTTTTGTCTTGAGATCTGTCATTGGATCGAGTGGCCCCGTGAAGATCTTTCAGGGGCGACAGAAACTGCCGTTGCAGGATCTTGCAGTGAGATCCATACGTGTAAGAAGGGCAAATACATCTGAAACACAAATTAACTTCATTTAATGTTGGTGCTCAGAAATTTTAAAAACTAGTTGCGACTCCGAACTATGTTGAAACCCATCAAAATTTAAGTTATTGTAAACTTCATTGTCGATAATAGTTTTTAATTTAAATATGAGGAAGAAACTTTCAACCGTTCGATGCATAGAACCCAAGTCCTTAAAAACGCATGCAGTAGAAAATTTAGAAACTTCACAGCAAATAACAAGCATATGTCTTCGTATGACAAAGTGAATTCAACAGAAGCGAATCAATCTCACTTCTCAAATCATTAATCATATTTGTATGAATATAAAACAAAATAAATCCAATAATATACGTTTAAAAATTATTTTTTAAAGACTACACTTCTAAAGAATCAAGTGTCTCCAATGTTACAGATGTACACTGAATTTTTCATTCTTTTTTCGAATTTTAAAAAAGTAATCTTTCAATTTTTTAATATATTTTTTTCAAAATTAATTATTCAGTCAATTGATTCATGCATTGCCTCCGACTTCACACACAAGTGTGCAAAATTTCAGATCAATGCACCTTTGCTAAAGTGTGTCACATATCAGTTATAAGATTTGTAGCTGACAAATTTATTTTTTCAATTTTTTTAACATTGAAAAAAATTTTTTAAATTTTTAAAATCATTTATTTTGTCATTTGATTCATGCATTGCCTCCAACATTACGCAAGGGTGCAAAATTTCAGATCGATAGGATAAGTGGAAGTGTGTTAAATTTCGATTATAAGATTTGTAGCAGACAGACAGACAGACAAACAACAAGAAGTGAAGTTAAAGAGACGTGTTGTAAAATAGAAGGCTTTTAGCCCGAAATTTCATTGAGGCTGAAGCTCAATTCTCTCTTGCATAAAATTTCTTATGTACTCGTAATGATTGTGACATTATTTAAAGGATTTTATCAAGCAAAACCAAGTGCTGTCAACTTAGGGTCGACAGTAGACTTTATGTTAAATTCTGCTCTCGGTAAAAATAAATTCGTATTTAACACTTAACTTAAGTGTAAATTGCGAAAATTTGACTTTTTCTTCATCATGACAGATAAATTGATAAATAGTCATTTAAATAAATGACTTTATTGAAGAAGATAATATTTAAAAAGCTAACCGTAGAAAATCAAGAAAAATGTGCGTATAATTATGCAGCAAAAGTTACATCAATATCTCAGGCCCAGCAATAGATTATTAAAACGAAACCAGGGACACCTCGAGCGTTTACTGTAGCAGAGGAATGAGCTCGACGCTATGAGCTACGTTAACTTTATTCACTTAATTTGGCCAGCATATCTTGCCACATGTTTCAACGGAGCGAAACAAGGCCATGTAACGAGGACTGCATTGTAGCGTCACTGCCACAGACACTTGGTAAACCTGAAGGAACCGCATCGCTGCTTCAGCACAACACTTTGTCCGGAGACAATGGGAACTTGGAAATTGGACAAGCATTCCATTGTTATTCTGCGTAGGATGTAAACTATTCTGTCTCTCAAGGCTTCCTGTTTGTGTTTGGTACAACTTTTGGTAAATCAAAACAGCTTTTTTATCTAAACTAACAAAAAAGAATGAACGACAACTGTTTGCAAGCAATTGGAATGCTATGAATTGGAGCGATTGGAATGCTCCTAACCAAGAAACGTGGGATGTAAAGCTGTAAAAGTTCCCGAAATCCAGCACGGTAGTTCTGAAGTTCTGAACACACTCATACGAGCGGCATCAGAAAAAACGCACGAGACAATCAGACAATCTAATGGGACCTTTTCGTCATAAATTCCCTGCAAATTAATCTTCCAATGTAACGCAGTTCAGCATAACAATATGAATATATTACTTCTCATTCGACAACGCAAAGTCTTAATAAAGTGATAATAACAGAATATTTAGTAAGGAAGGTGTCATAAAACGTAATCCACAATCAATCAAAGCATGATCAATTTCGGCACATAATAATATATTTTGCATAAATTCTTTGGACAATGTAATTTGGAAGTTTGTGCCCAAAAAACAGTCGTTTAAGTAGTCTTTAAATGTGCGAAAATTTTAATAATAGTAAATTTTACCGTCCATCATTCTACATGCAAAAAAATTGGTCCAAATTGTTCAGTCTTATTTGAACGTAGATAAGAATTCGATCATTCCCCCCAAAAAAAAAACAATATTTATAGTTAAAAATTGGTTTGAAATATGGAATTTCAGAGGATTTCAGCTAGGCTATTCTGACGTTTCTACGCGGTTGTGATGTTATTTTAGTGAATACTAGCGAAAAACCTGCCACTTTACATTGGTCGTCGTTGAGAGGCAGCCAAACACCTGTCATTATTATACCTTGATTGTATTCGCTGTAGAACGGGGAAGCACCTGCCACTTTTACCTCTGCAGACGATACGGGCCTGGAAAACAGCTACCACTTTTATATTGGTTGACGTTTGAGGACGTCCACACACCGGCATGAATTTACTTTGGCTTACACGTCAGGACGGTCATTCAGCAGCCACCTCTACCATGCTTAACACTGCAGGACCTCCGAACACCTGCTACGTTTTCCTCTGTTAACACTACTATCTTTGCAAATGCTGTGAGGCAGCCAATCTCCTGCCACTTTTAACAAGGTTGGGATGCGGGACGACAATGCAACCGCCACTTTTACCTCGGTTGACGCTGCGGGACGGCCAAACACCTGCCGCCGTTGAGGCAGAAATTGGCCTCGCACGAAGGTCTTGGGTTTCCAATCACCGGGAACGCAGCTGGTGGAGCGCCGCTAACCTCAAATGATTCTTTGGATCCTGGGCGGAAAATAAAGATAGTCGTGCAAGACGACGTGACATACAACACTTACATGTGAAAATATTTTTAGATAAAGCTTGTACATAGTGATTCATGGAAACTTCTTGTTTTGTATTTCGCGCCTAGCAGCCAGATGTTGTAGGAAAAGGGAGGGGAAAGTATTTCATATCGAAGGCAAGGTCGTGAAGTTTTGTGTAACGCCTAGTCAGTTGCCACTATGTCTTCGAGCAGCGTGCGTTTGCTGTCGAGGCGCAAGTGGGAGTGTGAATGCAAGAGGGTCTGGGGGTCAGCGGACTGCTACAACCCGAAAAAAGTAGAGAGAGTTAGAGAAGCGTTTTGCGTTTTCCACACCGTTCACAATGTAAACACGCTGCTATTCGTTAACATCCCATAGGGCGCCTCATCTCCTTGAGAGGGGTCCTTCTTTGGCCGGCCCGATCACCCGATTTGGCTCCGTGCGATATTTCATGGGATCATCTTAAATCAATTGTTTGCAATGACTGTCCAAGGACCCTACCTCATTTTCAGAACAACATACGCCAAACCATCACCAATATACCCGTCAATATGCTTCTGCGAGTTGAACGGAACTTTAAAAATCGACCAACTGAATGCATTGACGTCATTTGTCCGATATCATCTTCAAAAGTAATTGATACAGAAATTCTGGTAATGTATTTTTCAATGAACTTCATATTATAATGACAGCTTTACTAATTATTTTTTAACAACCTTTCAAATCAGAAAGTTTTCGTGAATCACCCTGTACTATTAATTACAAATAATTTTTATCTTAGAATCCGAGGCAATTAAGATAGAGGGGATGACAAGTTAATAAACAGCAATTTTGAAACTAGCAGAAAGTGCTGTAGCGGGACCAATATGCTACTTGAATTTCGTTACTAAGTCACTAACCGCGGGCCTTAACATACGAGTATTGTTTAAAACACATCACTGAATTTTCAGAGGCCACATGGTAGATTTTAATATAGTCTAGATTCCTCAGCCCCGACATAGAACTTGAAACTAAATGTACATAGATTGAAAAATGCTAAATAATATGTTTGGCCTATTGAAATTTGCAGACATTACAGAAGGAGGTTAGTCAGGCATGAGTCGGCTGCCAATTCGCAACCAGCTGATTCTCGAGAAAACTAGCTGCGCACACTTTTTCTCTTTAGTCACAGTAATGCAGAGATGTAAGGCTGCTTAAGAAAACGAACAGCGTTTGAAGCGTGGCCAAAGACTTGCACGCTACATTCCTCCCCTCCCCAAGACGTCAAGACCTTTTTCTAACATAATAAATTATCATAAAATTATACAGCTGACAATAGATCGTCTAAAATATCAACGCAATACCATTACATAAGAATAATCAATACTAGCAGTAAGAGCTTGCTATTCGCATGGTGAGAAACTTGCTACTAAAGCGCAGTAATAGATTTCATTCTGTCTCCAAAATGATTAGTTTTATAATTCATTTAGACACAATACACTAAAATGCATCTTCTTAAAGTTTTCCAATTGAATTCATTGCGTACACATTTCATTTCTAAGACAGCTCATACATTGTCATTAGATGAATGGTGAAATAAACTTAAAAATTTATCACGAATTTGGCAGCTACTGCTATTTCATCGGATTATCTCATCTATAGGCGTGTCTTAGGCGTGTCCTTCAAGGCGTGTCGCTTCTGTATTCCGTGCATGACGGCCCATCTTCATCGCCTTGAAAGACGTGTACTTCGAAGAAAAACCCTCCGATTTCGCACTCTTCTCCAGCTGTACTCTGACTCCGAGACAGAAAATTCAGCTTCTGAGCTTGACTCGCTACTCATCCTTGCCTGAAATGTTGAATTATCAAATGAAAAATCAACCGGCATCTCGATCACAGAACCAGGAGAGGCTTCTTCAACAGTTGGGGCCTCAGATGTCTCCATGACCAGCACCGAGGCAGCCTCGTAGCTAGAAGCGAAATCCGAAATCGGAAAGTCTCACTCTGGGCACAAGGCCACTGTTCGTGGACATGATTCATCAGTTTCCAGTGCAGCGGCAAGTGCAGGGATTTTTGACTCGTTTGAAAAGTTACGATGAATATCAGTCGACAGATGATCTGGCCCACCAGACGAAGAAAACTGTTCAGAAATGAGAACCCGCGTGGTATCTCCGGAGCTGCTGGGAAACTTCTGCAGGCTTATAATAGCATTAGGTTTAAGAATGACATTCAATCTATTTCGTCCACGATAGGTTCCAACGTAAAAGACAATTGCCATAGGGAACATTTGAGCTGAACATGACCCCTAGCCTCATTATTCCTACAGAATTTCCTATTTGAATTGGTAAACGCTGTTTACTTGGCAAAACAGAATGTTTAGACGAATTGGTCTGGCTAAATACTAAATAGCATCTGGTATAGCTATTTAGTATTTAGCTTACTAGACAATGCTTCTCGAAGTAAGACTCTAACCATACCCTCCCAAGCATAAAGTACACTTTGGGGCCAACTACTATAAGACAGAAACTGATAAAATTCAAATCAAAACATAGCTAAGTGAAATGCGTGGCGTTCCAAAGAACGTATGAACTAATTCATTCATCGTGTGATCGCAACACAAGCAGTCCCCAATCCCCATAGTGGCCACCAAAGTGCGCAAAAACAGCTACCCAGGATAGAATTTATTTCATTGCCCGACAACAAATTATGATTGTCATGAACTTGGTTTACCCATGTACTGCGGAAAGTTACCATTATTTCATGATTTCATACATTTAGTACAACACAAAAATGCGTAAAGGGTGCACACCGCATCAAGAGCATATGCGAAATGGAAGAATGAATAATTCTGCAGCTGAATGCATGCCAGAATGGAGTCATGTGGGGTTAAAAGGGTAAAGAAATAAATGTGATTAGCCAGTGTCGGTGCTCACGGTGTTGACGCGGACTATGTTACTCATTACGCCAGCTGTTTACTTGGATAGCATGTTTTAAAGGCTTCAATTCATCTGAATGAAGTATAAAGTAATTCCAAATTCACCATAAATACATAATTATAGATATAGATAGTCTCGAACCGAAAAAAGTAGTTGATATATTCGATCAACACAACACAATAAAAACAGTATATGTATGAACAGTTTAATGTAGATTTATAGCCCCAATACAAACGAATACAAATTTTGAAATTGCTAATACATCACGAAACTGCTCCATAATGCAGTAGTACTAATAAAATATTGCACACAAAGCTTGAAGTTAAATTTTCAAATTTCGTGTTAACAATTAATTGAAACAATTAATTGAATCCTGTCCAGGTTTCATTTTGTTCCATCCTTACGCTGAAAAATTACAAAATTTTGAAATTCATAATCGACGGCAACGTAAGTAGCGCTTCTTAATTGTTAGGCTTTTCATTAAATTCACAGAATTAGTCTGCCCCTCAAGGCCGGCTTATGAGACCTGCCGCGCTAAGCCTTCCGAAAAGGTTTCTTTTTCCAGCCGCGTTCACAGTTAGCTGGCGACCGTATCGTGTATATATAAATTGCACGATCATAACACGAAACCTCAGCCAACATTTTCCCTTTTCACATTTAAAAGTAAAACGAAAAATTTATCAGCTAAAAAATAGTTGGTAATTTGGTAGTATAAAATCTAAATTTCTGTATGAAGTAAGATTTTTCGTGAATGTGTGATAAAGTGAGTAATAAATTGAGCCTGAACCCCGCTCTTTATGGGAATATTTTTGGCCCAATACTTGTAATGCGATCCACTATGCCTCAGTAAATGCGCGCCGACTGCTCAAAATTAGTACACCTTTCAGAAAATGAACGTAATTACGGAAAGTTCAAACTAACATAGAATTAAATTTAATTTACTTCACCACAATCTCCAGCTCTATTTTTGAAATACAAATTAAATGTTTTTTTCAATTTATTCCAGAATAATCATCATAAGAATTCTAATATTTTTTATTCATACATATCTTTTTTATAATATGTTATATGTAATAATTCCCGTTATAACTTTTTTATATATCTATGTTATCTATGTTTATTCAAACATTACAGTGACAGCCAAATAAATGTACCCTAATATCCTATTAAATGTTCCGTATTAAAACCTAGTTATATCTTGTATTTATTTACAACACGAAATGCTGCAGGCCATTAGCGAAGCTCTCACCTCTGTGCGCTGTCACTTCTCGCTGATCGTTCGAGGCATCGTGGTCTTTAAAACTTTCTGATGTTCCGGCAACTTTTTCCCCTCGGGCAGGATGCTTTTTCGCTTGATTGGCAGCATTAGCGGGAGCAACGTCTGGCTGACAGCCACAGTAAGACGTGATCACGAACCTAGGGCTGACCAATGTTGCTGCGGCTGACACGTCTGTGTAGACGTGACCGTCGAGTGTTACGTGGCTGTTGCAGCAGCACGCGCAACCTCCTACGTCGCGGCTACACCCGCCAACTTCTGACATGCCTACACCCGTCACTGACGCACGTAGCACGGATGACAGCTGTTGCAACGGAGGACAAAAGGGAGGAGTTATTTTATTCTACACACGGTGTGATATCAACTAGTTGCTAGATATTTATCCGATATACATTCCACTGCATTCGACGTTTACAGATAAAGAACCTAAATAGTTACGTTCTACAGAGATTCCGAAATTAATAGGAACTTTAGGAAATTGCACTAAATTTATCCAACACTTAGCAAATTTTTTTTTTTTTTTTGGTGCAATTAAGTTAAACGTATTATAGGAAAACAATTATTTCTGAAGCCAAAACTATAAAAGTTAATTGTCAAAAGCAACACAAAAAGTGTAGTTTTGTTATTGTTTTTCGAAATTCCAAAAAGTCATTTGCCTGCAAACCATAATTGCCAATCACTTAGAACGAAAAAGGTCAGCGCTTTATTACACAAATAGGAGGCTCATAATTTTCACTTGTGTTTCGCAAGGGAAATACAATGAGCAAAAGCCAAAATAAAAAACGGCCCACAATCTCGCTCAAGGGAGATATGAAATCTGTCTGCTCATAATTATTCAAAGTAATAAAACCTTGAAAAAAACTGAATCTGCTCCTCCAGAAATCCCGACAGAGAAATACGTTAATGCTCGAGAGGCTAATTTATAGGTAAGAAACTCTTCAGGAAAAACAGCCATTAGCTCGCCTTTGGAAGACCGTGCCGAAAAATTGTCTGAACATTTCAGAACTGAAATGCAACGAGAGAGGGAGGGGGTTAGTTGTTCACAGACCTCACGTGTAACATTTTCAAAGTCAGAAAATGCATGGAAGCTGATCCCTTCACACCAGCTTGAAATTCTATCGACTCAGCCGCTCGGAGTTATCGTGTTACCAGAAAGTGCATCATGAGAAGCACTCATACTCTTTAATGTGCATTATTAGATACTCTCCTATAAGTGTGATATTGCCATTTGTAACACAATATTACTGTGATTGTTTCTTTTTCAATTTTTACGATTTGGTCCTCGAACGGTTTCATTATGTGACGCATAGAAGACTTAGTCTGGTTATATCTGCTGTTTTTGGTTGGCTTTGCCTCCGAATTATTTATTATCAGAATTAGATATTTTCCGCTGATTTGACTTTACTTTTGAATTTATGCAAAATAAAAACGCAAAATTAAAATAATATTCAAACAGTCATTAAAATTTATTAATTTGATTAGCGTGTTTGTCTTGCATTGAAACGAAACACGTAGGAGTTTCTGTTCAGTCATTTATATCCGAGGAAAAATAACGCTTTCTTTTTCATACGTTTCCGTCATATATGATTATGAATGCAGATGAGTAACGCAAATAAGTACAGTAATTATTACAAAATTAACTGTGATTTAAAGGTAACTGGCGAATACAGGGAATAAGAAGAAGGCGTCTGAAGCAAGCACATAAATCGGAAGCCGTCGGTTTGTTGTTCTGCAAGAATTATGACTTCGCATGCAATTGCCATCGATCACCTGCAGTGACAGTAATTGTGTCGGGATTTTTCTGCGAAGCTCTCTATTCAAGGGAACAAATCGGCAGGTTAATGAAGCGATTTCTGCGTCACGCGTTTTGAGAGTGCACAATAAATGAGTTTCCGTAATTCAAGCTTAGAGCTGGCTTATTCACAAATGATTTTCCAACTGCGGCAATAGTGTATATAAATGCCCTGTTAGATGGGAATTTCATTAGTCGTCCTGATATCAAGTGAAATATGAGTACGGGCAAATAAACAGTTTATGCTGCGTTATATCCTAAGAAATATGTTCTCGTAATCCCAAGGTAATTTCTTTACCACAACCCACACATCAGGCAAGCTCACGAAACTACATCACCCAAATTAAATCATCGGCGGAAGATAGGCGGCCACAGTGTGGACAGAGGTCGACTAGCAGTAACTTTGCAATGATATTAAGCAAGGCTTTCCGCCGCCGTGTATAACATACTAAACGACTCACCACTTTTCTTCTGTCGTGAAGCATCACTCCGAGCTTCAGAAATTTACTGTCAGACGCGAGCCATAGTCTGGTTTTATCTGCGGTTTTTGGTTGGTCTTTCGTCTCGAGGTCGTCCAGTAAATGTTCGACGCTGACGAGTACGACATTTTGCTCATACCAGACGTCTTCTGTACCGCTCTCAATTGTCCTGAGATGTGCGGAGTTGCTGATATTGCTGCTGCTGCTACTACTGTTGCCGCGGCTGCTACTGTTGCCGCTCTTTTTGCTACCTTTGACGCCTCGTCCACTGATGTCTACAGTAGTTTTCAAATTTGTTTTTCTGCTATTATTGCTGCTCTGTTCGCCGTTGCTAATTCTTTCTTTGTTTCCGCTGTCAATAAGACGCTCCAGATCATCGAAGTTTTGCGGCAGGGTTTGAATGGACGCCGTCAGCTTCCGCAAGGCAGTCAGCGGCTCCTGAGAGAATATAATTTCAATATTTCATAAAATAGAATATGAAATTTTCAACACACTTATATTTAAAATTTGTTGATCAACTTGAATCGAGAACCTATTATAGTGAGGCATCGTTTTTAATTAATTCTAAAGTATGATTAGATCATAAAATGTTAATTAGGATCAATTATTTGCTATTAACCACCACACGAAAGCATTATGAATGCCTAGTGAACTTTTTAGTTATACAATGTAGTTTCCCTGACGTTGAGGGAGGCGGTAGAGAAGAGGCTTCTCGGGGGAGCCGCGATGTCCAAGGGGATCATTGCTTGCAGGTCTCCAACATGCAGCCTGCGCACCTGCACTGTGATCCCCACCTGCACCGTTGCTCCTGCACTTGCCTCCTGCACTACCAGCGTACCTGACAACCTGACACAGGCAAACAAACTCTTACTTCGAAGCCACCTTTGTTATGAAACTTGATTTCCGGTAGAGGACAAGAACGTTTCAAATTATTTGTGCCAACCTGAGAGCCACTGAATGTCGGATATAAATGCAATACGACAAAATTTTGTTACAAATATTCCTGGGGATAAAAGTTTGGTTTCACCTGCAAAAACGTATGCGTTTAATGGTTGTTGAAGACTAAGTAAATGAAAATAAAGGTAATGTGGATATGACCTACATGCCTAAGTTTCGGTAGAAACGCGTTACGGAACGAATGTGATAAAAATGGCAGATGCAAGTCTACTTTAGATATATCACAGGTACACAATACACTTTTACGTAATGAATTTATGCTTAGATTTATCCTGTGCCAGCTTGGTCGATCCCAAGAATGGGTTTTTGTAACTCTTTCTCTTTCCTCTTTTCCTTTTTCTTTCTATTCTACGTCATTAATTTCTATGCCATCTCACTTCCTATACACAATCTAGGCTATTTCTCCTCTCGTCCTACAAGTTCACAATTACAACCCAAATCAAAGAGTCAGAGCCTAAATTAAATTCATTAGTAACGGCAAATGCGGGAAATTTAATTCAAATTCAATACAATTTGTCGAACGCTTAAATTGAATTCTAGTAACAAGTGAAATAAAAATAATACTTTCCAATCAACATTTAATTGCAGACATGATCTTATTAATGCGCGCGTTCATCATAATTCACTTTCAAGTTGGATGTCACACTCACAAAATATATATCCTGTCCCGAGCGCGTTTCTAACTTGAAATCAATTTTGAACAAATATGGAACAATTCATTCGTCTAGACAGGACGCTCGCATAGGACAAATTTATGCTGGCGTTTTGAGTGGCCGCCTCCAATCCCTTCACTATTCTACTCTGCGTTCGATATCAACAAATGCTTGTTGACTCAACACAGGATGCTCATTAAGATTGAAACTAGAATCAATCTTAACAGTACAGAGACTTATTCCTTTAAATTCTAATATTATTATAATCAATCCCTAATTTTTGTACTTTTACCTTCCAATTTTCCTGCAGTTCACCCAACCACAGAATTTATCGTTCCTCACTGATCTTTTATTTACACTTGTACGGAAATTCAATGAAACGTCAAGTTTATTCAATTTTGATCAAATCGCAGTACACTGGGATAGTTCACAATTAGAGCTTTTAAATTATTATACGAATCTTGGTTCAAAAATAAATTGCATTATTATACAAAACTGGTGAAAATTCTTTCCAGCTGCATTTTTCGTCATGCTTAATAAGCAGTCCATAAGTTCAATATAATTAGTAACCTGGTTGTGCGACGTACTACCTCCAGTTTTCTGTCCTACAAGCGATCAATAACCACGTTAGAGGTCCTCTAATATTAGAATCAAGAGGCTTGGGATGGGAAGCGTCGCTGTGAAGCGAGACAATAACCCTGATTTATTCAACGAGCGGCTCGCCTAAACTTTGAAAACTGCTTCATTGCTGGTGCTGCCCACGGCAAGTTAATTGCAACCTATCCAGTCATTGCTGGACTTTTAGGCGCTCCTAATTGAGGAACTTTCACGCAGAGTCGAATTAATAATGAATGGAAATACCGTTACGGCTCAGTCATTACGGCGCTACAAGATATGAAACTTTCTTCATAAGCCGAGTAAGGGAATCGTGATAGTTGTGAACCTCGGCGATTAGCGTTACGAGGTCACCTGATTGTCGCTTGCTCTGTTGATTTACGTATTTTATAGTGATACATTTTATGCAACTGGCAATGGTGCTTCATCATTGACGATTATCAATATAATACCAAGGACTGGTAATGATGGAGTGAGTGCGTGTGGGCTCACAAGCATCAAGCATATTTATTGACAGCATCACATAACTCAAAGCATTTTTCTCAGACGTACGCTCGCATGGAGCGGGATGTCATCACCCTACGTACGTCCCCTTTCAATGCAGTCATGTGAGTAATTGCTCGATCAAGTTATATATCAAATTATAACCTGTATGCAAGAGCCCGAAATCAAAATATATGTTCAGACTTGAAGTGCCTAGCACCATATCGAACCCGGTGAAAGTTTAGTAGTTATTTTAAACTATCGTCAGTCCTGAAAAGATCCGGTCAAATGACATGATTTTAGATCTCCTGTGAACAAGTCACGAAAAGTACAAGAATCGACGACAGGCCACTTCAGGCCTACTCTTCAGCGCCGTCCTCACTATGTTATGTTAATTGGATATGAAAAGTAAAGAAGGACCTGGGAACACCTCAAGTTTCATTGGTCCTTTTACCAACATCAAAATTATGCTGTTCATCTGGAAATAACATGTATCGTGGATATAGCATAACGATACCAGCTTATCGGAACACAGTGGCGTCAGGTTAGAGCAGTTACGTAAGTATAATAGTCTTCCTGTTCCAATTCAAGAACACCTAAATCTTAATCATGTACAAAAGAATATTCAGTAGGAAATGAAAAGGAATTTTTGTCTTTAGAAGCCTTGATATCGCTCAACTTCATAAGGAATTCAATTGAAATAACTCCTTTAATAAAGCGGGATGGATCGTATGCTGTTAGGTTAAACTTTGCAATATGTTCGCGCGAAATGGTTGCAAGCATCTTGCTGAGAAAAACACGACCACGGTGACGTTTTTCATCATAAAATGACTAAATGAACTATAAAATGAACGGCGAGGGACTGAAATGTGAACAGTAATGCACTGTAATATGAACTGTAATGCATCACACAAATCTTATGGGCCACCTGCAGGGCATATAAATGGGCATGGAATGCTTGTTATGGCACACTTCTGGACCAGAAGTGCAGAAATATTAGGCAAAGATTCTTTTCCGGCACATAATTCTTCACGCAAAAGTGCTATACGAATGTTCAAGATATTTCAGGACGAATTTTGAGAAGAGTTTTGTGCAGCAACGATGCATGCAGACACCACAAAACTCTAATCTTTATCATTTAAGATCAATGCTGTAACGATGTGAGTATGTGCACATAGATTACATTCGCAGCCGCTGCTATTGAATCATGCAATGAATGTTGAGACGGGAGACTATTTAGATCGAGTCTTTTGCATTAGCTGAGCTGTTTTTTTTTTCTCGCATACTTTATGAGAAATAACGCTTTCTCCAATACCTACTGCAATTTTTTTGTAGTATTTTAATAATTACAATTCAATATTTTTTGTGTCTATTGTGGTATTCAACATAATTTGATTCAGAAACTAATAATGAAAAATATGAGCAGAAAATAAATATTTATTTCAGAGTTTAGTAGATAAACTTACGTAAGCATCTGTGCCCCCTGCAGTAGGTACAAGGCCCCGGTGTGCGGATCAAGGTAGAGGAAGGGATGGGGGGCCGCCCAGTGGTACACCCCGAAGGCGGGTGTCGCATCTCCCAGCACCAGGCCCAGGTCACACCTCTCCTGCTCCTGGGGGCTGTCCTAAATTGCAAAGTATTCATATTCATTCACAATGTGATACATGAAGACTTAGTCATCATATTCATGTGATGCGGAATCCATAGTAATCAATTTATGACGGAATCCATACTCATGAGATAAAAATCTCATTTAATTGTGAGTCTATAATGCAAGAAGAAGCTAGAAATATAATATGCGCAAGATTAAATAATTAAGATTGCTGTGGACAATGCCAGAAAATAATCAAAATGTATAAAGTTTTAAAATGTTCAAGAACATAATTATGAAATTATTGATTTGTAGGATAAGTCGCATTAAATACGAGCAGCCAATTGCTGGAAGCGAAAAAAAGAACTGACGAAGTAGGCAACGAATTTCTCTTCTCAAGGCCACATCAAACTTTTCGAATGCCAATGTTTGTGTATAAAACTTACTGCTGTTGTGTACTGTCAAGAAGAGAAATGTATTCGCTGCGGTGAACCAAACTTTCCGCAATGAGGGCATTAAGCGGATTAATGCAAAAGACGACACATGTTTACAGGTGCCATCAGGGCACGCGAACCAACGACGATTTAGTAAAGTCAACACGATTGCAATTTTAAACAAGACTTGTACGCCCATGCTTCTTTATAAAAGACAAACTATGCAGCTACGGCTTTTTTTGACGTGCAAATGAAGAAAGAAGAGAGTAACTTATAGCTGCGGCCGGCTTGACTCCCTCAGCCCAGCTACTCGAATGTGGGGAATGGAAACTCGAACTTCTACTCAAAATATTGCACGGCCCTAGACGCTCGTCATAAACAAATATTCGGCTTATAATAAAAATGAGAAAGCTTTCTGGGTTTAGATGGCATGTCGGATAATATTCTCTTCATGGCGGGATTATGAGACTGGATCGAAAATTTTTACAAGTTTTCGACTGAACGAAGCCTTTACTGGTTTAAGATTCGATTGCTTTAATTAATTATTCTCTGCAAAAACTCGATCAAGTTCTGTCTGCTGATAATTAAATCAAAGCAATCAGGTTTAGTTAATCTGTGAGAGATTAATGTAAAAATCTTGTGTAAATCGATTTATAACTGTTGCACGATACGTCTTAGTTAATTAAACACTGCTTGTGTGTGAATTATTTTACTGCCTTTACTATTTAATATTTATTTTACTTTTATTGTGATCTCAAACTCACTTAGAGGAATCATCAAGCAGATCAAGCAGATCCAATGAAGCATGGTTATTCAAAACATTCTTATCCCAATGCAGTATTAATTTTCGTTGTCTTTCTATCGATTGAACGCTGATGTCATTTTGGAAATATCATCCATCGGCAAACAGCGCAAGTTTCATGTAGGGAGCAACAGGGCTCTCAATCTAGCTTTATTTAAGGTTTTTCCTCGTGAGCTGATTTGCAAAAAATGCTGTTTCCTATTAAACCTCGAATATTGGCTTGAATCGACTCATGTACCGACGCTTCCATCCAGACTTTAAACGAACCAATTTCAAAAAACAGACACTTAATTCAATTTATCAGAAATTTAATTTAGCTTAGTTCCACCGCAGTTTGATGGGATTCCAACAATGCACCAGAGTCAATATAATTTCAATAATTTTCGCACAAAATCCACCGAAATATTTTAACGAAGTGCAAAATCGACGCCGCGAGAATTCGCAGTTGGAAGTTAAACTTTTCAAATTAGATGGATGCGAAAGTTAGAACGATTGTAAGCTGAAATAAGCAGGACTTACAGTTGCAAGGATTAACAATATGATGAGATAATTATAATGGTTCAAGCACTGGGTAAAGCAGAAAAATATTAAATTAATAATAATCTAGAATCAAAATTCGATACAGGACTCGACGTTCTTGTATATTACCTACAATAATTACACTCAGAAAACTAATGTCATATTTCAATGAATGAAGGCCATATGTTCCAAATATTGACACACTTTCGAACCCTGAACACGATCATAAAGCGGACGTTACACAATGTGCCAGTTTGCCGGGCCGAACTGGGTAAGATTGACGCACCCATGGGCAAAAAAGACTCGTTATTTGAACAAAGCCTCGCTCAATTCTCTCAGTGCATGACACACAACTCCCACCTTGATGAGTGTCAGCACGATGGTACGGTTGAGGTAGGTGGGGGTTCTCTGTGGAGCCAGCGTCAGGGTGACAGTAGCTGACTGAGGGACAGGAGCTGCGTCGCTGACGACGACAGGCAGCAGCAGCACGCCTGTCTGCTGCTCCCAGTCCCTCATCAGCTGTACCGTCGTGGGTACGACCACCACCTTGCCGGCAGCACTGCTTGGAGGGTCAGACTGCATCGCTGCACTGCTGTACGGAACATAACCTGCGTGGCAAATAATGTGAACAAAATTATTGAATAATATGAAATTGTTATATAAAAATGTACTTTGAATTAATGTATTAGCAATGATTGGAATGTATTATAAATGAATGTATTTTGAATTAATGTATTAGTAATGATTGGAATGTATTATAAATGAATGTGTTTTGAATTAATGAATTAGCAATGATTGGAACGCATTATAAATGAATGCATTTTGAATTACTGTAGTAGCAATGATTTGACTGTATTAGACGAATAGACTGTCAGTCGCAAGCGAAATAAAATTATTGGCATGTTAGAATAAATACGGGAGAGTTTTATCATTATAGAGATGGTAAGATCTAATTTACGTCTGTAAGATATTAGCAAATAAATCAATTAGCAATGTCTTTTACTGCTTATCCACTAGGGCGAAAATTCAGCCTAAATTATATTTTACAATTGTTTCCATAGCTTAAAAACAGAAGAGTGTTCTTACTAAGGCCATTTTTTTCAAGTGCTAATTGAGCCAAATTGAACTCATGCTCCAGCCCTTTGTCGCTTGCAGGACCAATAATAATCAGGGGCGGGTTATAGAGTCTCCACATTTGGAGGAAATCGAAGGCATTTTATGAACAACTCGGCGCGCCCTGAAAGCAGCGACGCAATTTCAGCGGTGGCTGTCAATTTCAGGACTTCCTTTCAAGCGCCCGTCGCTTCACAATGCCATTAGAGGACAGGCAATCTTCTTACGTTTTAGGCATGCAGTAAGATCGGGTCTTATATTCCAGTCAATGAACTGCACTTAATTTTCCAGGACTCTTCTGTCATTACAAAATGGCAAAATCGTGAATAAATCGCCCGTCGAAGTACGAGTCTCAGTCTCGAGCGCCCTCCATGAAGAGCAGAGTACACTTCAACCAATGGAAGAATACAAACTCTCGGCTCGCCTCAACAATTCCCCCCCAACTCAACCAGCTCTTAATGCAGATCTTAATTACAGCGCTCAGTATCGACATTTCATTCCACCGATTCCTAGTAGAGCAAGAATAAGGTATAATTGAAATTGTTCCACAAGTATTTCATAATAGAATTAATTTAATTACTCATTTAAGTAAAAACTCACCGTCCGCAAAAGAGACGTTAGCAATGCCGCGCAGGTCTTCCATCGCTGCTGGATCCAACATCACAGAAAAAGGAGGTCCATTTCCCACTGCCCACTCGTCCAAGTCACCAAAAGTCAAATTTAGGAGCAACCTGTTGTTTTTGATCTCACCAACAGGAAATTTTGGTGTCCCTCTGTCTGTTTGTAGAGGAGATGCCGAGCTCAGCAATGTCGTGGTTTTTTCTGCTTCGTTTATACTGCTCAGCTCAGGTTCTTGTTCACGTTTTAGTTCTGGCGTGCTCGTGAAAGAAGCGAGGTATTTTTCGTTTAGATGAGAAAAATCTCCTCCGATATTTTGAACGTTCTTCAATAGCTTTTCCCAGTCAACGTCTGGTGCAAATGGCATTTGAATATCAGATGCCGTGGTGGAGGCAGCCGCTGGATCTTTTTCTCGTTCTTTCAAGTCAGTCACAGCAATGGAGACGATGGAGGGGCTCACGAGGAACGGCGGGTTGTCGTTCACATCTTCTACTGACACCTACGGAGCAAACGATAAGGTTCGTCGTGTCAGGCACTACTGCTATGCTTCATAAATCACCTGATCAAAGACCTCCGCGGACTAGAAAATTTCAAGCCAATGTCGTTGAGTTCTGATTGTTCCCGCTAGCGGGACCATCGCTCATGATCTAAAACAGATTTTGCTAAATTACTTCGCTTATCAATGACCTTCAGTGTCAGGTTGATCAATAACAATCCAAAATAGTTTATATATTTTAGTTTTTACGCGTATTATATAATGAATTGGTTTCCGATCAACCCACAGTTCGATCAAGCCACAGTTTGTTAAAGTAATATGTAAACGTTCTAGAGTCTTCAGCAAACTCATTTCGAATATAAGTAGTATAACAATTAATGAGCATGGCCTCAGGGAGATGGATACAATTTTTCATTTGTGCGAATAGTTCCAAGTAATTAAACGTCCGGATATAACAATCATACTCCAAGTTAAAAGCTGAGTAAATTATGAATACATAAATTTAACACATGTTATATCATATCAAATGAATTATATACATAAAAAATTAATCAGAGATACAACTCAATGCAGGTCATTCAAATTATCTCGCAAAAGCTTAATAGCATACGAATTCAAATATTCGAATAACAATTAGAATTCGGGTTATAAGCGCTCTATCGGAGTTAACGTACATCATAAATCCCAAGAACTGACGCGTGATAATCGCTCCATCAGGGTTCATGTATATCATATACCACACTGTCGGATTATAACCTCTCTAATAGCGTTCATATCTATCATATATCCTAGGAACTAACAGTGACGGTGCTGGTGGTGGTGAGGGGAGGGGTGCCGCTGTCCCAGGCCACCACCAGGAGGCGGAAGGTGGCCAGTGTCTCGCGGTCCAGCAGGCGCGCCGTGCGTACGGTGCCTGGTGGGGGGGGAGGGTTGTGGCAGCTCAAAGTCTCGAGTGTTTCAATTCCAATTCTTATTTGCTCGAACATTTCTTCAGGCACTTAACAGAATTTTTCTTATGGAAGAAGATGGATATTCTAGGATGGACGCAGTAACATATGAATATTTTATAAGGAGGAAAAATTTAACAAGAGGTGAAGTAAAATGAACTATACGTGTTATATAGTCAATTTTTATATTCTAATTAAATTAAATGTATTTAAGTCAGAGTTTTATGAGTCCAGAAAGCCAGCGTTACAGAGAAATCTGAGCATTACTGACATATAATATTCAATTTGTTGTAACTATAGTGGGATGAAAAGATGAAGAAAAACCTATCCCATTAAAATAATAAATGCTCTTATAGTATTGTATTTATCTATTTCTTTTACAAATATATCGGATAGACCTTTACCACAAGAGAGTTTAGACGATTTCAATTCCATACCAACCGACACAATCTCTTTATTCAATTAAATACAATCACGTACAAACCCTGTAATCTGTATACATAATACATAAGAAATTTGAGCATAAGTATTTCGACCTTTTATGCCCTATCGTGCCAACCGTGGGATATTTACAGCCTCTCATAAGAAATTAAAATCAGCAATCCAATTTCCAAGATGAGGCAGTGAGAAAAATAACAATTAATATCCTAGTAAGTTTTTAAGGCTTCAAGATCAAAATCGATGAGCCCGTGAGCAGGGCTGAGAGGCTGCGAGAGGTCGGCTTGAGTGAGTCAGCCACTCACAAAGGAGCTCTCGGCCGCCCAAATTCTGTGCTGTAAAAAGCAGCAACATTTTGATCGGATTTCCACCTTGGAAATGTTATAATCGATGATCAGCATTGGCTGTGCTGAAAGCCTAATGATTATACTGCATGAACTTTCATCGCGATCAATCGAAGTCAGGTATTTCGTCCTTCAAATGCTATATAGTTTGGGAAATACTTCTAAACAAGACGCATTTCACTTTATTTACATATGTTTTTCCTGTAAGTGTTTATGAAATCTTATTCAATTTTTCAGGCCTCTTTTCCACGAGCCAAAGGTTTTACTTTAATGTTTTCGAAAGTTTCACCTGAATTTATTACCTCCAGTTATGGTTTCCTGTGTTTCTTGGCTTGCGTTTAGAGCGACGCCAAATGCAATCAAAATTCACTTACATCTACCGCCGTGCAGGTGTTAAAATATTCGTCGCTACTCTGGACTCTAAGTGATACAGCCATAGGCGGGATGCAAATGAACGCTCCACTAGAGAGTGTGCCATGATGGCCATTTTCGGCCAATTTATTCACTTAAAACTCGGCCGAGACATCAAACCCAAACAAGAACTTGCAATTCAATAAATCATCTCCAAGTCAATTTTAACCTCACTAATTATCAGGATCGTTATTTATTATGTTATTATGGATTAGCGGTAGAAAGCACCGCAATATTTTGTTCATTAACGCACGCCGGCGTTAGAGAGGAACTTGATGAACACGCGCATGATGGGACGGTGTTTGAGGGACGGTCTCGTGACGCTGCGATCACACTGCGTCCCCAACGTACCTTGCGTGTCGACGGCGAAGGTCCCGCCGAGATTGCCCTCTGCAGTGACGCCGTAGCTGATGAGGCCTCCGGACCCCTGCTCGGGTGGGGGGGGGGGGTTGGTGGAAAATGAACAGCAATTAGGCGTTTGGATTTGCCAACATAAACAGTAATTGTACGATAAAAACTCTTAATTACTAGCCTTAGACGATAAATATTAGGGCATTTAAAATTTCCGAAACGATCATTACTCCAGCGGCTGCCTTTATTTTTATCAACATTTTTACGCAATTGTAATAGTGCGTAAAATTCTATTAATATGCATTGTTAAACGTACGCAGCAAGTACCAGTACGTCTCAACTACTCCATCGTAATTACCGAAAAATCTATTGTTCATTATGGAAATGAGTTTTGATAACTAACAACACCTTAATCTTATAGTTAAACTATAATACGAGAACTAATTAAACGTTCCTCGTTGAAAATAAACATAATAAGTAGAAACTTTTGTTCACAAATAGCTGATAGTCGTTACTGAAGACTCAACGTTAAAGAAAGCCAGACACACCGGCATTAAGCTTACGGCAAAGTTGGCATAAAGCACCTTAGCAGAAGCGGTAAAGTCACCCTAATCACACTTCACGCGAGATCATCAGGGCACTTCTCACTAAGCTGGCAGTGTCAGGAGTCAGCAACATACGAAGAGCATGACTGGAATTTGACAGCGCTGCCAACTTCGGCTGCAACTTATGCTCGGCCATATTTTTAAAGGAAAACTCGAATATTGGGAAATTGGGCGGTGAGGTTCCAGAAGGTTGTTCAATTTCTAGAGGGTTGCTCTTCATGCCAAAGAACTTCGACATCTTCTGAAACGTACAAAGTATGCTACTTAAGCGCATTCGCTTCGAGGCTGTAGATAAAATCAAAAGTTACGTACTAAGATCGATAGAGTTGAGAACAGTATTATTTGCATTCGACGAGCCAGTGCATTGGTTCTGCAGTGGTTTTCAGTTGAACACTTCTGTCGTTGAAAGCAAAATATGCAATGATGACTTCAAAACCTCATCGTGCTCCGGTAAATGATGATGGCCAAACTTATATTAAATAGAAATATAAAAACTCTATTTATTTTGTCTTGTGCGAACAATTTAAATCCGTAGAAACATCCTATGGAATATTTGGTAATGAGTACGAATATAAAATGTTCTGATGTGCATTTGTAAACAACTGGGCAGAGCGAGGCTTTCAAAATTGTAGTTAGGTTAATCCTAGCCTTTTGAATGATTTATTTCGAAACTAAAATTTTCAGCTGTGTTATTTTAACAACACCCCTCAAGATCCTTGAACTAAAATCTTAGGTTTTGAAAACATTTTTAATGTATTCCTACCAACTTAGTTTCAGTTATTTTGGTTCTACACAGCCTCCTATCAACCATCTACATAACAGCGAGAATATTCTCATTTTAAATAAGTTTGCAGTTACTTGTATAATCCAATCATTCGCTAACCCAAACTTATTTTTTAGTACAGATTTAAGGCAACGTATACCATTTTGGCGCAACATACTATACCGATACATGTCGCTCTTCAATACCGTCGACTGTGGAGTAAACAAGGGCTTGTCCGAGCGCCAGACCCAAATTAGAGCACTCAGGCTTATTGGTCTCAGAGGGACTGAACCTCAACGGGAATCATTGATGAAGTCTCACAGCTTCAGGAGTGCTTCGACGACTGATTCGAAATTGATATTGATCAGAAATGATAAATCGTTTCTTTCACTGATTCGGGAAAAGGTGTGCTAGGGAGCAGCTGCTATTGTAAGTTTTCTATTAGAAGAAAATTAAGCCAATGGAATTTAATCTGATGGATAGCTGGACCAACAAGATCAAAAGACGAAGATTTCAAGGGCTTATAGAATTAGCTTCGAAAGCAGCGAACTATACAATTCTTCAATAGCATTATATATTTAATGTAGAGTTGTATATTCTAAATGAAAAAATCAGTCAGGCGTGACCACTTCCATGCATTGCTGTATCCGCTATTACGAAACTGGGACTTCTCGCATTAGTATTATACGTTTTACCAAGAGTTGAAGAATCGCAATGAAGAAATGTAATCTTTCGGCAAAACTGCGGCCCGTCATAGAAATGCTCACACGTAATCAGTGCGCGGGTCACCTAGTCTTATCATAGTTCTGCAGACAGTACGTAGTTTAATATTTTAAATCGACTAAGCATTTATTTATATGAATTTTGCACGAATGTTAACACTCGGAAGACACAGCAACATAATTAATTCACGTTTTTGCTTACATGACACTCCCGTCACGTTTGCGCCAGAGGGCGACGGAGTCGACCAAACTGATACTGACCTTACGATGATGGCTTCCGGATTCAATAGAGTTAGCTACACCGATGCTGACTTTCGTAGCCAACAGAGTGAACTACATAGAGGCTGGCTTCCGTGGCAGACAGAGTAGACTACATAGAGGCTGGCTTCACGGCCGACATAGTAGACTACATCAAGGCTGGCTTCCCGGCCGACATAGTAGACTACATTGATGCTGTCTTCCCGGACGACAAAGTAAACTACGCCAATGCCGGCTTCCGCGGCTGTCAGAGTAGACTACGATACTGGTTCGGCTGGGCATCAAAAAATACCCTCGCTCTCATCTCATTTTCAATTCAAATTCCAAAAGATCGCTGAAGCAAAAGGGTTGAACACTAAACCCGGCTCGGCAGTGTCATTCAGTCGCCTACTAAAGTGAAAAACCTCGTTTCAAACAGTGTGAATGTTGCTCTCCCCAAGGACTTGTCATTCATTTGCCGCTCATCAGACAGACATAAAGTGAGATTTTAGAGCCGGTGGTATCACAGATTAGGTGTCGACAGTACGAGGGCCGCTGATAGTGCCGTAGAATTTTGATTACAGCAAAAGTCTTTTGAACTGTTCATCTAGTTTAGAATAATTACCTTTTTTTAAGAAAGTTTCATTGTGAAATAAACGAGCAAAGAATAAATGCAGAATTTTGTAATCTAAGTTGTCATTCTGACCAGCCGTAAAAAATATTTAATATCTGATGATCAAATGTTCAATAAATATTTCTATAACACTTTTGGGGCAGACTCTGTACTTAATTAAGTCCCTCTACGCCTAGTTCGGCATTTTTTACACAATTTTAACATTTTCTCTCATCAAAACAGAGTGCTGTGACGATCTTCGACCTGAGCTGGGCCTTACAATTTAATGGGATTTCATAATGAACGATGAACAAATATTATAAGTAAAATTTGTGAGAAAAAAGTATGAATACTACTAAACAAGAGCGTTTTAAATATCCAATCTGCAGGTTGGCAATTTTACTGAAAGTGTTGAGATCGAGTGACTTGCAGAAAATTTGTGGGCAGCAACACTGGGAAGCCTGTTTGTGCCGTCAGCATTCCCAAGCCGCGGGGTGCATACGAATGGCCAATTGGTATTACACATCAAGACGATGGCAAGGAAAAGATCTCTAATTTTTTTCTTTGAACCCTCAAAAATAAAAATTGAACCTTGTAGCCTATAAATATTCCCTGGTTCGCTCTTCATTTGCATTAGCGGTTCTCTCCGCTCCAGAAAGTGTTAGGGCCAACATGAGCGGCGCTGGCAATATCGTAACACGTTTAGTTCTGGTCTAAATTGTTGCAAGATTTCTCGCAGCCGTCAACATCTGAAAAATAATTTGCATTCAAAGCAGCGCCGAGGCATACGTTTTTAGGGTAGTATTAGCATTAATCTTACCGAGAGATTCTCAGGTTTTATAAGAAACAGCTCTCACAGAAGAAATTTAGACCTAGCGTACAACGACAGATGTGAGACCATCACCGAGGGAACGTGACAACAGTTGAGCCTCTGTTTTACCTCGCAATTTTACATTTTATTTTCATTTATCTCCAATTATACTTTTCGACAAAGAAGATTACTCTCACGACTTCACACTGAATTCAACTAAACGATTAGGAGATCGCACGAGACAGTACCGTGATTTATTTCTGCCGTCAGATTTGGATCACTTCACTGCTAAAATTATACTGTGTTTGGAAACTATATTGGCGGATATCTCAACTATAAGTCATATCAACCTACTGGTAAATTTGACAAATAAAGAGCATTATTTTTATTTTATATAACAAGGAGAGATTTTGTACAAAGAGATTTTGTGATCTTAAAGGAATAGCCAGCATAACCGATATAACTTAAAATTTGTCCCGCACATTTTCCGATGGAGATGTAATTGAAGGCTTTGCAAGGACCAACTAAACTAAAGTAACCCGGGGCCCGGATGCACGCCACTATCCAAATGGGGCACGCATGTACCAATGCATATTCCATGACCGGATCACATGCTTTCTCTTGCATACAGTCGCTGGTCGAGCATTGCAGGAGGAGCTTAACGCAAATCGGCGTGTTCCATGATATACAGCAACGACACATGTGTATAAAATTAAGCAAATCTCTGTCAGGAGAGTGGCTGCACAACCCGGCTCTGTCCATCGCTGAACCTCTGTTGTAAATCTTTCCAGTGATTAGCTCAATTCAAAACTCGGTTCCTTTTTCGCTTCTAATGTCAGGAAGAACTCCCGTCGTTTGTCGCACTATAATTTAATTAAATTCATACAGCTACAATGCTTGAAAAGAAAATATTGCTGCACATGACATTTCTTCGGATTTTTCGTCAATACCAAATCGCATTTCTTTGGTGCGTAGAATGTTCCATGTACGAGACTCGTAGGCCAGTCAGGCGTGAGCGCACCGGGGCAATGCATCACATTTGCTGCAAGTATTTGAAGCAGGAAGCCAAACATCGCAATATTACTAGTCCGTGTTCCAGCTGCCGACCGTCACATCAGCAAGACGTATGAAGACGGACGTCAGCAACGTCCTCAATGAAAGCGCTCACTCGAATCAATTCCGGGACAGATTTTATGAAGAAAAACTAAACTTTATATGAATATTATCATGATAAATGGGCGTAGTAACCTGCCAAATCGAATTTCTTCACCTTCGGTGCATATAAAAACAGTGGCTGGAAAAAATCAGTCTAAATATTAGCATTAGTCATTTGAACTTTAGTGTCACGAACATATTTAGAATGATCAGCCTTTTAATTATTATTTAGAATTATCAGCTGCAATGAAATTATCCTAATTAACGTTAGAATATTATTTTAACTTCACACATGCTCGGTGCTCTACGTCAATTACTTCTGTTTCAAAAATGGATCTAGTAGTTCATTTAGCAGAATTTAAAATATAAATGATATAGTCCTCTCCTCAAAATTCTTTGAAATGGACTAAGACACAGAATAGTCTCAAAATGTTCAATTTCTAGATGAAGAAATTCATTCCATTTTGCTAAGACACCGAAGATACAAACAAGGGTAAAAACACCTTGCTGAAAACCAACAGTGGCATTACGCAGTACAATCACCGGCCTGAACCTTGGCTGTAAAATGAACTACATAAATTGAGATTCTTCATTGATAAATCAATCGTCACACACTGAAATCAGAGAAGCTGTGCAACGGACAGTTTCACAGAATTAAGTCCGAATTGGTGAAAAAGTGTACGCGTAAAGGTATTTGTTAATATTTCGTTCGCTTTAAATGTTTGAGTCCCGGCACCAAAAATCTCGGACAACAGAGAGGCTATGAAAACATTCGTTCAAAATTTAATTTAGTTTATTTTTTTCTTGTTGATAAATTTTTACTTCATAGACCGTCAGCTGTAATCAATAAATACCCGACAATAAGTTATGTATAACTAACTCCAAAATTAATTTTTCAATTAACGTTGAAAATTTCTAGGCTAAAATTTAGCTTCCATCAGTTGATAAATTTTCTTGTAAATAGCATTGATCGAAAAATATTGAGCTTGCGTGCCAAATGTCTATGAGAACATTAATTTAGTTTTTCACATGAATGCACATAGATATTTTTTTCTGAAAAATTAAAAGCAAAGAAAATTTCCAAACAAAGTACCATACCATCTTCCTAGAAAACTTTTCGGAGACCAGCACCAACGTCAGTTTGAAAATTCTCGAATGCAGATGCAATCAGTAGTTAGTACAGTAAAAATTAAAAAATAAAATAAAATCTAAATTTACAAATAAAAGAACAAGCAAAAAAACAGGCAACAGCTATCTATAGACAATTTCAAGTGTATAAGAACTAAAAGCTGAATTCAGACTAGGCCTGTTTTTGAAGATATACTGATGCATGAATTCTAAAATACGTAAACCGGAAGTACCGGAAGTGGTAGCTAAACCTTAAAGTTTTCTGAATGATATTTTTCAGGGGATGAGAAGGCAAAAGATTTACAATGCTCGAAAAAAAATAATGTAAAAATACTCATAAAAAACGCATCGCTTCGTCGAATACGGCAGCTCCAGGTCCGGCTTCGTATTCGTTGAAAGCAAGGCGGCCAAAGTTCTCTCTAAGTTGAACATCCGTGTTAAAAAGTTCGATATTCCAGAAAAAAATACTTTCTTAGCTCCCAATCCCCGAAACTTTTGACGCCCTGTATACCTTGGCATCATTCCAATCGGTCAATCAACATTCCAGACGTCACGTTGTACCAGACGTATTGGAGGTTTCTGACAAATCACGCATCACGTGGAAAAATCACCATGAAAAGTGAAATTATCTGCTAAAAAATCACTATTTATTGGGAAAGTGAAGAATTAAATGAAAATTTTAAATGAAACAAATTTCATCATATCTTCACACAAACGTTAGGAAGATAAGCTCCATCTTCAGGACAATAGCGCATAAGTGAACAATTCCGGCAGCAAACGATATAACTAAAGATTTAAACGTTGCATTAACGATACAAAAGAGAAAATGACGTGAATTATTGTCCTAATTTGTTTGCAGAAAAAAATTCTCACCTTTTCTTATTCCGAAACTAACATATTTTCATAACATTTCACTTGGAAGGATATTGACGAAAATAACGTTATATCGGACATTAATTACAAATTATAACAGAACACTATTGAAATATTGCAATAAAAATAACATCTTACCAAGAGTATATAATTACACAATGAGTGTGTGCGAGAAATAACTATAAAATTACACGCGTAAGTACAAGAAAGAACTTTATAAGAGGACCTCAGGATCAACTTAAATAAAGCAGCAAACACTAAGAGACTCACAGCGTCGAGGTCTGCAGCAGGCAGGGTGGCGACGACGCTGCCCACGGGGAGGTCCTCCCTGACGGTGACCGTGTGGGGAGGCTGCCGTACGAACACCGGCGCGTTGTCGTTGGCGTCCAGCACGCGCAGGATGACGCGAGCCTCACCAACGCGCTCGTGGTCACTCCAGCCCGACGAGCCCTGCGCGCACGCCAAATTTCTTTCTCATAAAAAAAACTTACTTCAACGCGGAGGAAGATACAACAATGTTGCATACGATGGTGCTTGACTTGAGTAAACTTTCCATTCTGTAAAGATCAATTTTGTTTAGGAAATCTTAGAATCTGTAAGTTCTAATAGAAATAAAGGTATTGGATTAAACACTGAACATAGTAGCACAATAGAAACAATATTGAAGAAGTATTGAGCGATACTAGTTCTGCATAAGTAGAATATATATTTTTGTTATCACAACTGTCAGAACTTTTATAAGTTTCCGAATGGTTAAATAAATAGCACTTCTTAATTTCCACCTTTTCAATCCAAAAGTGCACGTTAATTGATATTACATACACGATAATTATTTCTTAAAATACTATTCATTATTATGCTCAGTTCACACGAGCGACGTGACACCAAAACTAATCGCGAAGGGAAGCTAGTACCTGTACTGTACCCACCGACCATATTTATACTTGATCGAACTCATTTGGCTGAAAACTGCTTCAAAGGTTCTGGGAAATTACTGTTTGCACGATCAACAGCCGAGCTTTGAAATAAATCGAAGCGATGAGCGCTCCTGGAACAGAAGCCGGGACAATTCTAATAGAAGCGCCTCTAGCGCCCTGATCTCTTCGGTTGGAAGTGAAGCGCAGCTCAAGAGCTGGCAAGCACCACTGTGGATCAAATGAAGCCTGCCATGCCATCAGCGCTATCAGTCCGACTGTACTCGACGTCTGAAACTAAGCTACAATTCATTGGCAGTCATTAATCTAATATTCTTCAAATCATTTTAGAGCGCTTAGCATAATAAACGTTTAAATTTTTATTAATTTTTTCTTCTAAATTGCTTAGAAGTTTTTTTGGCAAAATAAGTAAATTTAAACAATTTGGGCAGTAAAATTTATTCTTCGGAGCAGATAGCGCTAGAGTTCCCGGCGGTCTCAAGACGGCCGGCACTGGAGCATTAATAAGTCAATAAGCCATGAACACCAAGCAACGCTTCCAATTGGCGTCCACATCTCATCCTTGGTTCATTACGCTCCATCAACTCCCTTGATTGGCACGATTCGAGGATCTGCTTATTGACTGACAGTCGTCGCTCTTGCGTCGGTCGAGAAAGTTCATCGTGCCTTCCTTAGTGAAACGGCGGATTAATGCCAATCGTTGCTCATTAAGGTGAATCAGAGGCTGAGATCAAATTTACCTCAAATCAAATTTGGCATTTCAGCAATTGATACTTGAACAATTAATAGTAGCATTCAATGCTGTCTCGATGCAAGATGATGACTCTGGTACAGCAGGCTGGCTCACCTGGTACAGCAGGCTGGCTCACCTGGTACAGCAGGCTGGCTCACCTGGTACAGCAGGCAGGCTCACCTGGTACAGCAGGCTGGCTGAAACACAAGGCAGGCTCACCTGGTCCGTGACCTGTACCCTGAAGCTGATGCCTGCGCGGTGCCGCGGGTTTTCGTAGTCCAGAGGCTCGCGCACTCTCAGAACCGCCGCCCTCCTCCCCCCGAGCATCGCGCCCTCCACCTGAGGCGTCAACTGCGCTAGCTGCCACCCAGGCCCTGAGTCTGGTACAACCTGCAGTGAGGCACAAAACTGCGGCGATGAGCCTTGATCTTCGTCAAAAAGTACGTGTCGGAGGAAAAATTCTCATAATGAGTGAACCTGACATAAATGATTAATGACAGAAAAACCTTCATAGATTGCAGGACGTGCAACGAGTTCTTTTGTTGAATTATGAATCCATTTTCAAAAACTTCAAGTAGAGTTGCACTCAATCCCTCATTGATTAGTCGATTCTTCCAAAATCATGACGAACACAAAATGATGAAGACACATTAGTTTTAATTGACTCGTTATTTCATTACAACGTATTTTAATGTGGTTATCTTGACACGGGATTAATGCAAAAATAAACCCCATTAACGAAGAGACTGCTACACATTGAACCTAAAATTTTTATAATGCCCGTGAGAAATAAAACAAATCTAGAGCCAACTAAACTCTACCTTGAGCCTCTACTACCTTAACTCTACCTTGAATGAGCATTAGCTCTAAGCAGATCATTGCAATAATATGCCGTTAATATTCCCTAGAAATTTTTTTCGCGCGCGAGTAAGCAAAGTACGACGCTTTTAATCAGTACGATTGGGCCAGACATAAAAAATAATTTGCAAATCTAACAATAATTTGCATCACATAAGCCATAAGAAACATAAAATGACAGTAGCTTAGCATTAAACATATATAAGAGCGCAGTAGTAGAACTCGAACTTCTATCCAAAATGTGACCATTTGTAAAAGTAAGTTGAATGCTTGGACTATTTCCCGTAGATTTTCTCAGACAGAGTTTGAGAGTTTAGGTAAATATTCTTTTTTTTTGAAAACTAATTAATTAAAGAAATTTTTTCCAAGTTTGATACAATTACGAATGAATTAAGAAAAAATTAAAGAATTTGATGCATGCATTATGTGATTTAGTCGGATCCTCGATGTGAAAAGGTCAACCATGAGGAAAAATGGCGACGGTTCGTGAAAATGCATCATCTAGCTTCTCACAAATCAGTCAAAAAAAATCCGAAAGATATAATGATCAATTAACAGACCTCTAAATTTACTATGTGTTGTCACTGAACTAACCTATTTACTAAACTCATATAATCACTAAACTTTGACTGATATTCGGTGTATGAGTATCATAAAGACGTTATTTAAAAGCAACAGAAAATTCAAATAGCGCTGCTGACTTTTCGCATTAAGCCTGAATCCGGTACATTCACATAAGAAATCAAATGTTCCTTTCATTTAATGAGACCTTCTTCTAGAACCACTATAGACATTTAATCATATTAGTTCAGAACAAGCATCACACAATGATATATTTAGTGCACCCATTCTAAAATTCACTCAAACTGTAGTACATTATAGGTTCACTTCGTCCGCTTTACACACAAAGCAGTCGAACATACATGCACTCAAGCTGTCGAATGCTCAGCTCAATCAGTAGGAAATTCACTGAACGCCGTCAGAAGTTATATCAATGTTGATGTATATTCAGAAAATAAAGTTCAATATTAACTCACCATAGTCATGAGTTACTGCAGTAACTCATTCACTCAACGCTTAACTCATTCACTCAACGCTTAACTCATTCACTCAACGCTTAACTCACTCAACTCATTCACTCAACGCTTAACTCGTTCACTCAACGCTTAACTCGTCCACACAACTCTCAACTCATTCACTCAACACATTCCACTTTCACTAAAGGCAATCACACGGTCCTCCTATTCGGACACATTCACTCACCCTGAAGGCGAGCTCGTTGGCTCGGTCAGGGTCATTGACGGGGAGGGTGGCGAGGACGGCAGAAGCGGGCTGGCCCTCTACTGCCCACACGGCCCACTCGCGACGTGCCCACTGAGGAGGCACGTCGTTCACGTCACGTACCTCGACCACCACCGTGCAACTTCCTGAGCCGTCGATAAGTGTGCAGTGATGTCAATGTGAGAAAGCATTTTTAGAGGTTGAGTAGGAATTTTTCAAATTAATTAATGAACATTCTGTCACTTTTACTTCAAGTTTTAATTAAAAACGTCTAAAGCTTTTAAAAAAGCATTCCATTCAAATCGTTAACGGAAAAGAAGAATGCGCCGGGCATCACAAACATCAGAGCCTCTTGTTCGTATGGGAGCGAACCTCAACACTATACCTATCTAATCTCAGTCTAGTGTTGCTACCTCCTTAAAACCGAATTCAAAAATTGCCTATAGATTTCATTTCTAACAAATATGTAAAAATGTGCGAAACAAAAGCTTATGGACTATAAAACAATAATTTTTTATATATGAAGTTATAAAATTTATATTAATTTTGACATACGTATATAAGATAAACTTTAAAGAAAAACAGCAGTTTAAGATGAAATAAAATTATAAAAGAGCTATTACAGAATACTGCCGACACTCTTTGAACGTATATAACGGCTTACATTATGCGGCTAAAGGTCCTAACGTAACATATCGAGTCCTTGTCAGAAATAAGTCTAACCCTGTAGCCCGCCGGCGTCTGTGGCAGCGAGCAGGAGGGTGTAGGTGCCGGTGCGCTCACGGTCCAGACAACACACGGCCGTGCTGATTTTGCCCGAGTCTCTCTCTACCGTGAAGATGGCTCGGCCCGACGTCTCTTCGATGACGTTCTTCTGCAGCGTGTACACCAATTGTGGTGCGGGGCCCTCCAGTGGCTCGTCAGCATCGTGCGCTGTAACCGTCACGATCGCCGTGCCTGACGATAAATATGAGTGGTAGTGATGAGACATGAAGCATGAAGTGATTCTAATGAGACACAAGTCATTCTATAATTAACATCTGGGAGTTGGGAGTTGTATGTCTTTTCCTAATGAGCTAAGATACGTTGAAGAACCCAAGTAAAGAAAGTCGAGGAGAAATAAACCCTTAAACAGTCGAACGCATAGCAGAACATTAAGATCTGTACAACAAAATGAACAGAGCGTTGTATTGAAAAAAACATAATAGTGCAGAAGTTTTGTTATTTATGACAATAGATTGGTGATATAAGAAGTGAAGGAATTGAATTAATCATTTCCCCACTATGAGCTGTTCACTGCAAACGGAAGAACCATGCTTACAATGAGCCAAGTATAGCTTCCTGGATGATCATCTTAACAATAATGATTGGCACAAAGAAAAGCCCCTTTCCCATCTCTTTTCTCGTCGTGATCAAAGTTTGATCCTCTCAACAAAGGCTGGGAAGAGAGAGCGGCGAGAAATTAGAAGGTAAGGATAAAGGAGCACAATTAAAGAAACAGGACGTTGAATACGCAGATATAAATCTCAGTTAAAAGGAATTCGGGTCAAAGATGTAATATAGAAATACATGTCAATATACACATAGTAATGTACATTATTTAGTAATATACATACTCGTATGAAACAATTGCTACAAGAGTACACGCACACTCAATTCAAGCCGAAAGCCCTCAACCAAAATGTTTATTCGAATTATAAAAATTTTCATACGTCAAAAAAAATGAATTTTCTTTTACATGAGCCTTAACCAGCAATATTGTTGATCATTTAATTCAAAAATTTGTTCATTTAAATTCGTTTTTCATTCTGTTTACAGTCACCAAAATGAATTACGGCTCAAAATTGTCAGGATAATTTTTTTACAACTTGTTTAATACAGAACATGCTGTGACTCAGCAACTGCTCTTGTCTCGCCGATTGCCCTCGCCTATAATAAGATCTCTTGGTTTGGTCTGGATTGAATTAATTGACCCTATTGTAGAGTTGCTATAGGGACACCTCTGTGACTCGAGTAATACAATGCCTTACAGGTTCACTTAATATAAAGCAATGAGTTTTCACATATATATTTCAAGAACGGGTTTGCACAATGACATTCAGTATTCCTTACAGCGCGTAACTAAATCATGGAAGTTTGAACGATAACGGAAAGTCCAAACGCAAATTGAATACTTACTATTGCTAAAAATTATAATATCCAATTCGCATATATTGATACTATTCCCTAACATAGTAAAATGCAATCATTTTTACTTTGATTTCCCCAGTATATAGCCAATCTCACACTATCTTCATATCCAGTTAGGGAATGACACTTCGTCTTAGCTTTAGCATTTTCAACTAAAGCACTTCCAATGTTTGGTCGAATGTCTCCACTCTATTTTATAAAGCAAATTTGTGTAGTGAAGGAGATTCTTCACCGATGCATTGTTATATACATTCCAGCGATGAAGCATATGCAACGAAATGTTGTGTAGAACTCAGTAAAAAAAATCCTAGTGCTCGCTGTATTTCATTGACCGCCAGAACGCACGACCCACTGAAAGATTTAAGCTCACACAAGAGACAAATTGTGCAAATGTAAACAATGCAAAGATTTAATCAAGCATGAATGCACGAAACATGTAGGCGATGCGTTCAACTTGGCCGGCCTATCAAGCGCAGGTCAATTACAACCAGACAAATCGCGGACATTAGGGCGAGGAAGGTGTCGAGGCTCCGAGTTAATGATCAAGCGGCCTGCATAATAGAAGCGCGCTCCTCTGAAGCGTACGAGACTACCTATAACAATCTGGGGAAAATTGTTTATAATAATTTTACGTGACTGAAGTATTAGTAAAAATTTGGTGTTTGTGCAATTTCAGAGACCATTCCATCATTGCGAACACTTTCCAGAATTAAATAGACCAATGATTTGGAAAATTAGGCAATGAAGTCGATAAGGAATTCAGGAATCATACGTCAAGTGATAGAAAAATATTTAAGCTACACATCATACTTCTGCTGTAATGGTATTAGGTTCTATGAACCCAGAATTTATTTATCAAAAATTGGTATAGTCATAACTATTATTTTTTTCATGCAAAATCATTTCGAATTTTTATTACGAGCAAACTTTTTGATTCTTTATTGTTGGGTTTATATTTTTTAGATTGTGAACTCTGAGTTGTGGGATTCAGCGCATGTGTGCGATAGTCTCACGGCGTTTACAGTTTTTCGTAAAATGAGAGACGAAAGAGGTAACCATCGTTTGCGGAATTTTTTTATCGATTCCTCTGTCACGTTTTTCTTGAAAGTCCATATCATCCGTGAAGGATTAAGGAACAATTATACGATATGGCGTTGAAATAATAAATCGTGAGCATTGTTGTACTAGTAAACCAAAATGCAACTCCTGTGGAGATGGTGCTGAAGTGTTTCTCGATGACGTGGATCAATTTTACATGAATCCCTCGTGCTGCATTTAAAATTTAATCAATTCTATTTAAGACTGCATCTTTTGAATGCTAAGAGAGATTGTTGGACATATTTTGACTCGGTGCTGGTTCCCTTGAACCCCCATCACCCGTAACGGTCCCGGTTCATCATATAAAATCATATCGATTATATTATTCGAAGAGAGGAAAATTTACTTACGAATTTGCCAGTTAAATAAAACTGCATATGTACCTATTTGTCATTGATTAATTTAGTGATTAGCGTTTGAAACATCCAGGAGATTTCAAAGTGACCCTTGTAAGTTAAATTGAGCAATTAATACAGTTGTTGTATTATATGTATTGTTCTATATTTAAGGTATTTTTCGCAAGCAGCCTACATTAGGTATAACAAGAGAGAGAAACTATTAGCCTATGTGATTATTGAGAGTAATTTTCCTTTCTTACAATAAATGTTCATTACTGCAGCCTCACAATACCCTTTTGGTTACAACGTATTTTATTCGTGACAATGACTTGATGACTTGCACCATATCAGCCTTCAGCAGTACATGGATATTCACATTTCTCCCCAACGCAATGTACAGTAAACTTTTTATTGCGGTCAGTACGTGGCAGGGGTTCCCCGCTGCGCTGCCATAAGACTGTACAATGTTAGAAGAAAGAAATTAAGTCGACCATATTTTGAAATAGGGTACTCGTACTCTCGGGCTCATGAAGGATATGCCACAGTTCGCCTGAGTTTGAGTGACCAAAGTTCCCGGGCATTATATCGACTGCAGAAGTTCTGACATGAGGAGAAATTTGTGGAGCAGAATTTAAGAATTAACTTGATTATTTAATAGGCAGTGCGACAGTTATGGCTTTGCCGATTGTAACAATATACATTTAAGAAAAAGTTCTTTTGATGTACTAATCTTGCATGAATCTTTTATACTCAGTGAATATACTGCCCCAAAATCTTTTCAATATTTTAAAGCCAAAGTGTGCTCAAAATAAAATACATTAAAACAAAATGGTTATAGTTCTATCAAAATGTTCCGGGCTCTCGAAATTCGATTTGATAAGTAATTTAAACCAAGCTAAAACCGTAGTACGCGATTGCACAATACAAGCGCAGTAGAAATTTTCTTCCATATTAAAATCACTTCAATAATAAATAGATATAAAAAATATATTTCGTACTTTAACTTTACCGGAAGCAATGAACGAGAATTTTGTCATTAGTCCAACAACTATAAAATGTTTTTATGCAGATTGATTGTTTTCCGTGAAGAAAGTAACTCCACCCTGCATTAATTTGTATCTGTAAAATTTTAGAACACGATTGTGTCCATCAGAGACCAGAAAATAAAAAAGTCACTAGATTGCTTTAATCGCAGATTCACTAGAAATTTAAAAGCGAAGAAAACACCACAAAAATTTAGCATATCTCTTTTGAAAACGTTTCGGAGACCAGCTCCATCGTCAGTTCGATAAATCTAGAACACAGATAAATGCAGAAAATTAGTTTGGAGTTAATAAAAAAAACACAAACAGAAGTTAAAAACCTAAATTTACAGACAAAGGGCAGAATAATAAAGTAAGTACCTATCTATTCACAATTTCTAATGGATAAGAACTATAGGCAGCATTTAAACTAGGCTTCTCTTTAAAAATATACAAGGATTCCAAAATACGCAGATCGGAAGCACCAGAACTATAAGCTAAAACCTTAAAGTCTGTGTCGGACACTGGAACGTTGCACTGTTCGGCGTGAGTGCGCACAGCCGAATGAGGAGGGCGCGATAGTAACTGCCCAAAAAAAAGAGATATGCTGCTTTTCAAAAGAGATATGCTAAATTTTTGTGGTGTTTTCTTCGCTTTTAAATTTCTAGACCAGAAAATGATTCAAATGGGAGAAAACTCCATCTTTTCCATTTTAAAAGTACTAATCTATGTCAGAGCTTTTATAAACAACGATCGTGGTTCGACCACGATACTTAAAAACTACATGATGATCATTTTGTGTTTTTTTTTTCAAAAGAACAAACAGGCATTCGAGAAAATCGATCAAATGTTTCCTACATATATCACTTACCGGTCTTTATACTTCAGCACGGTTGAATTTAAATGTTTAAAAGAAAGTTTGAGAAGTTTACCTATACTGAAAATTCCTTTGAAAACAAAAATTGTAGCTGGATCAATCATTATATTTGTCATCACTGACGCGTCAAAGAGTGTCATCATCTTAATAAACACAATTGCTTGTTAGTCCGATTCTGCATGAAACGAAATTTTATAACATGAATGAAGGAGGGAGAGTAATCTGAACTTTTGTCGAAAGTGAAAAAGTTTTCCCGACGAATTAACTACATTAGAATATTCAATGAGGATCAAGACAAAAATTAGCTTCCCGCTCTACTCATCGCGGATTTAAGAAGGCAAACTAAAAATAGAAAGCTTTATCGTGGTTACAAAGTCTTTAGACATAATCGCGCAGCTTTGTGCTCAATCTCTCTTGAGAGATCTATGGAAAACTGCGGGAAATATTAGTACTTGAGATGAGCTGCAGCAGAGTCGTGTCCGAATATGTGTTTGTTTAGCTCGGCTTGGTCGGGGATGAGGATACAAGCCTTTAATTCTAGAGGGATAATTGGACAGCAAGTTTTTAAATTACAGATCAACGATGCTGATTTTGAACTATGTCGATCGAAGGGAGTTTTTCACAGAATAGTTGAGATTGCAAGCCTTAAAATCAAGCAAATGCGATATCAAGGTACCCAAAATAGTTAACAAAAGTCATTATTAGGTCATGAGCGTTTCTTTAACAAGCCTCGTTAGTATCATTTCTCACTTTTTATACAATTTTCCACCGCCATATCAATGTTACAGACGTCAATAAAACTGGCATTCACCTTGCGGAGAGTTCTCAGGCACGGCGGCGTGCACGACACGTGACGGGAAAACGGGTGGGTTGTCGTTGACGTCCTTGAGGTTGATGAGCAGACGGGTGTGTGCTTGACGGCCGCCGTCGCTCGCTGTCACCCGTAACTGCCAGCGGGACGACCCCAGTGGCCCGTCCCGATCCAGCGGCTGACATTGAAAAAAATATAACTCAGTACTCACTGCAGTGAGTGACAGAAAACGCATTTTCTCGTCGACGAAAACTTGAGGTCACGGACAGGCGGACGGACAGACAGACTGACATGGCGAGCACAATAGTGCATTTTTTACATAAATGAGAAAATGCGCTAAAAAAAATCGCGATGATATCCGCGCACTTCTGAGATATAGCAAAATAATGAGGTACTCAGAGGATCAATGAATACAAGATGAGATCCGCACACTTTGAGTTCTGAGTATATCACAATAATGAATGAGATACTCAGAAGATAAATGAATACAAGATTGGATCCACGCACTCTTAGATCGGAGTATATCATAATTGTGAGGTACTCAGACGACCAATGAATATTAGATGAGATCGGAGCACTTCGAGATCTGAGTATAGCATAATTATGAGGTAAAGAGACGTGTAACCTAAGATCTGAGAATATTATTGCATATATGTGAGGTAATGTGATGACAAATGAATACAGTGAAATAGAGAGCTTACTCAGAACGGAAAATAGCACAAGGATCTGGAACCCAAAAAATATCATATTATGCGATGAACTAGAGACTCTTAATAAACGCCCCAAATTAATATGGGATAAAAAAGAAAAAATCCAAGCTTAAACTTTGCAAAAAGCAAATACGAGTTTTTCAGTTTGTTCATTTTCATCGAATATAATAACCTCAAAACATCGTAGCACCTCTCGTCCCATAGGCAAAAAGGCTCAGCGTTAACCAGGAATGTTCAATTGCATTTGCGTATTGCAAGTATTACTTTTGTGACAGCTGCTGTCCAAGTATAGTTGGCTAAAACCAACTCTCTACCGACCTCTACTTTCAAGACAACTTATGTTATTTATTATTAGTTATTTGTTCAACTTCCGACTGATTTTATGCAGCAGTATTGGCAAACACAAATTACTGAATTTCAGAACTACTGAACAGCGACCCAAACGAATGGCATTCGTTTAAAGAGGAAAAAAATACTAAGCGGCTTAAAAATAACAGCAAAACCAAGCCGCTTAAATTTCAAAATGACAAATTCAAATTTTATCAGCCAACGCGATGAATTCGCTACTTAAATTTCCGTTCAGTTTAGCTATGCGAATAAATAATTCATGTGGGCACTTTAGTGCCCGTATCGACAGCATTCGATGGTAATCGAATAAACTCTTCACAAGCATTCGCACGGTCGCCATTCTACATTGAATCAGTCAAGGGATCCTCTCATCAAAACGAAAACAGCGATGCGGTACTTTAGATGTTGAAACATTAGTTTTTAAAGCCTTTTTCACCAGGGCAATGATAAATGCCATGCAAAACTAACTACGCCAGCTTGTTGCACAGTAAATCTTCCCATCCGTGCTGCACAACCGGTTTTCAATGATCGATGAATGACACTTTAACATTATTTATATATATACATTGAGAATAATAACGAAGAGATTGAGTTATTTTAATGCTACCGACAGAATATTCTGTGTAACCGTCGAATTCATCTGTACATCTGTAGAGCGAAGTAAATGACCGCTTCCATTGTATTTACAAGATATTGAGTACCGAAGTACATGAACAAATAACAATAATCGGATAATATTTTTCACTGTGGATTGTGCGCTCTCAGCTTGGGAATTTCATATATACTTCTGAGAATGAGCAAAAAATTGTGAACAAACTTAGCTCATCAGCCAAATGCACGGCTAGTGCAACTTCAAAAGTTTTTCCATTTACTCGTTGCTGAGTCGTCAGCCGCACTGAGCTGCCGTGCTCTCATATTGTACATTGTACGTGGGTAAAAACATGAGTCTAAATTATCCGATGAAAATTAATTTAATGATTTTTTAACTAACGCATCAATTACTAAAATAATCATTAGAGCCGACTAGAAAAGCCCACGCCCAAAGTGTTTCAAATTCAATTAGGTTTCATATAATTGAACCTTGAATATAATGAAAAATTAATTTAGCCGATGCCTTATCAGTATCGCTTTCATCGAATTTCTGAACATTTTAGCTTATCGATATGCATCACTAATAATTCTTGGTTTGCAATAAGGAGATTTGAACTCATTAATATGTTAGTAGTTACCTTCATTACGTAGACGACCCCGGAGCGCGGGTGTACAGTGAAGGAAGGTAGGACCGAGTAGTCGGGCTTGCGTGAGCGGTACACGGGCGACTCCAGCAGCGCCAGCGTGTCGAGCGTCGAGCCTCGCGTCGGGCTGTAGCTTCTCAAACCGTGCAGGCTGCTCGCACGATCAGAGTCACGTATCGGGTCCGAGTACCTAACTTTATCAGATGAACCCAGAGGGATTGTGGTGCCCATAAAATCAGTGTAACCTTTGGTGTCAAAGTAATCTTCAGGGTATGAGTAACTCATCATAATTTTGTTGCTAGCATTGCTTGCAGGTGAGAGTAGGGCTTCCCTGTTCGAAGATACGCTTGTGTTTGAAGTAATATCAGATGACTGTCTACTGGGGTTGAGAGGATCGTGGGGACTGTTAGAGGGAACACCGTCCCCCGCTATGCTGTACGTTAGAATGCCCCATCGTCCAGCATCGCCATCCTCAGCTTCCACCTACATCCCGGGAAATAATAATAATTATGAATGCGATAAATAATTCATTCCTGAAATACAAAATTTTTCCAATGCTTAAAGCAGGTACAATCGTCGAATTTGTTAAGATTTACATTAGCTTCCACCCATGATTCACTCTCTCTTGAGTGACCGCAACAATAATTATTGGTCTCTATATACCTCCGTCTTAAAAAAATCCCACAGTGCTATTAAATTCTGGCGTAAAGTTTACTAAATGGAAATAAGTTTTATTTATGGGGTGTACTTCTGACGATGTCTTACACCAAATGCCTAGCGATCATACTTTGACTTCGTCCTCCCCTGTCAAATTAAGCAAATAATATGGCACCGTTGTGGCAGTAGCGGCCTCTTCGGCAGTACTTCATCTTGGAACACGCATCAGCTTTTCTTCAATTGAATTACCGCTCACGTAGCCTTGCCGCTGCGAAATATTACGATGTTAGAAGTTCTTACTACGATAGATATAGTGGTACAATGCCCCGAGGAATTTCTTTGCAAGCTAACGCTCGAGATTATTTGGTCAAATTAAATTCCCGGGCAGGTCATCCATCACACAACTTCGGACGCGATCGTCTGCAGTTGCAACTCACGGGAACACGACAGTAAAAATACGCTTCTATAAATCCCCTCTCCACCTACAAATAGAACATAAAAAGGCTTTGTTCGATGCGTCAAAAATACTTTGTTCGATACGTCGTTGCTCCATTACACTAACTTGCACCCACTTCCAGCTACAATCATGAACAATTATGTTCTCTTTCATTTCATGCGATGATGAAAGTAAAATTCTGGTCCAAATAACGAACATCAGCATTGTCGCATTGCGTAGCGCGATACGTAACATTCGATGAGTGATTTACCTCAATGGGTTAATGTATGAGGAATATGAGAAGAAAATAAAAAATCGCTTAGGTCTTTGCGTAAAGGAATCATTCATGCATAGAAGATCGTTGCATAGAGAATTCATTTAACAGTTACTCGGAAAACAACAACGAAATAGAACAAACTTTTACATTGAAAAGAGGAAATAAAGTTACATTCCATTAACAAATGTAAAATTGAAAATTAGTGCATAATTTCACATTTTTACTCACTAATTCACATTCCGGACAAAAGATTCGCTGCTGCCAGCAATGCGGAACAATTGATCAATTTTTTACTTCGCAGCTGAGCTGCAGCCGACGACAAGTAGTCCCAACTCAAGAAAAAAGTTTTATGTTGACACCTTTTAGCCTCCGAAGTCGAGACATTTCACCAGAAATATTCAACATGTCGTGTATGAAACCAATATTCGTTGAATGGTTCCGTAAGCAATGCAGTTTAAGGGTACAAGCTCACGAACATTCCAGTTTCTGGCCGGTCATTTATACTCAGCGAACATGTCAGTGTATTAATCACGCTTAAATATCAGGGTTCAATATTTAAAATTCGTAATAGTTTCTTCTTGTATCATTGATTTATTTGTTTTCAAAGTTTTGCACAGAGAAATATTTCCCTTCCTGATTAATCATAATAATCCTCTTATGATTAAATAAATTATGCTGAACCAAAAGAAGAAAAAAAAAACAAATTAAAGTTTATCAATAATTTGAGCTTTAAGTGAGTAGCAAATTAGAGAGACAGCCATTCTGAGACATTAGGCGACAAAGAAGACGACAACTCCAAAAACAACTCAGCATTCGAGTACGTCATGAATCCCATGTAGAAAAAACAAACAGAATAAACATATACGTATCTTCAAGATGGTAAATATGATATGTTCGACGAAGAAACTTTACTCTAATAATTTAAAATGGCTACACGGAGGAAAATACTGAAGAAAAAATCAAATATATGCAAGATTAAAAGCAGGTATTTTAAGTATTTTAACCTAAATAATGAGGCTTCTTGTGGGTGGTTGATGATGGAGTCATATGAATTCCGGAAGAAATCATATGATGATCTCAAGAGGAGCAAGCCGGTACATTGTTTCCAGAGCAGCTTATCCCAGGAACTGTTTCGCAAGGAGACTGGCTGCTCTGAGATCAATGAGATGGTCTGAAATGACGGCCACGGCATAAAAGACGTGCTGTGACGTTGTGGTGGACACGAGCAAAAACACCAGATTATAGCTCACATAATCTTTAAACGCTCTAATTTTACTTGCTCCTTGCCTTTGAACGCTTGGATCACTCAGTGCTATATTGCAGACTGAGGGTCCTAACTCACGGAATATTTGTCCAGAATATTAGGCAATATGTAATGACAAGATGACGCATCTGATCGCCAGTAAGCAACGACCGCGTGCCAAATTTGAACGAAGGCTGAAACTAATTTATGCTCCTGCTCTAATCACTCTTAAAAATTGCCCCATAATTGCCTCGGTGAAGGAAAATTGCGATCACTGGAATTCTTTAGCTAACTGAATGGATAATGCCCGTATATAAACAATGCCAGATGACGCAGTACATTTTGTATGAACTTCAATTCAATTCAGCTCCTGCAATCGATTCAAAGTAAACCAAGCATGAGTTAATTACTGTCAATCTCAATATGGTTGAGTTCAACAATTGAAGCTATTACTTACCAAGGTAGAAAGATCTGAATATATCTAGAGTAGAGGTCGATTCATCTAATACCATATGCTTTCATCACCTATAATGATCATGCAACAACGCTGCCCGTTCACAGTACAATGTATTCGGATCTACTTCGATTTTACTCAATACGTTTGTACACTCGAGGTGGGTAAACGCTGCATTTCACCTGGCTTAATTACGTCATGCCTTTTTAGGCTTGAGGGAAAACGACTCGATTTCTGAACAATTAGCTTCAATAAAAACGTATTACTATTATTTGTCGCTGTTTCGAGCATAATAAGCAAGATTTTTACGTTGTACGACTACTTAAAATTTTGATTAGACAGATATTCTTTTCGATATTTAGGTCCATTTTATTTCAGTAGTCAGTACAGCATCGACAAATATTCCTGAAATTTGGGTGAAAAGAAATGCAAAAGATGAAATAATGGAACCTCTATATATATATCTAGCTGTGATTCAGGTTGGCAAGAAGACATTGGCCCAGGTGAAACAAGTTTCAAGATCTCCAAAGGTTGTTTTCGGTGAATACATAATCTCTGCGCAATTAACTGTTCCAGCCATCCATGTTGAGTGAGTTAATGATGAATTTTAGGTCTCTGAACTAGACAGCCAAAACGGGATTAAGCAGTCTCAATTTAAACAAAGGAATTTCATTTTACACGTAATGCTTTGGGAAAAACATCGAATGTTCTCGAAATCTCGGCGAAATACTCTTTGCTCAAGAGCCGCGCTTGAAGCAATGCACCATTGAGGACGTCTCAGGAGGCTGCGCGACTAAAGCAAGAATCTTGTGATGTCAGTTGGGCGCGTTCAGTTGAACCTCGACACATTCGTTTCTTTCGAAACGGCATTATGTTATTTACAAAGAAATTGAGGGATCGATACGTACTTTGTATTACGGTAGTAACAATGAAAACAATATACTGACAATTTCATTTTCAGATCTGCGCATCCAATGGCAAAAGCTTGTCGGATACCAAGTACGTATTTACCACCCGAGTACTCGTATTTATTGCCTGGTAAACTACAATCCTTGCATCTAGGGGTTCGTCCCCTAAAAGTTTTCTAAGCTGAAAAAATTGCGAAACAAAAGAGATTTCAGATATAGGGTTTTGTAGCAAGCTTATCTGGAAACTTAGAACGCATCCTTTCATCTGTAAGACGTAGAACGGGCAAAATTTTAAATTCACGCCCGTAAATACGTTGCTGTTAAGTGCAACAGTCCACCGCACATTATTCGAATGCCCACGAGATAATCTCTCTGGAATGCCTGCCTTTGATGAGAAAATGCGGGACAGGAAGAACTGCTAACGAGCCTCAGCCTAATAATTCGACGAAATTTCTTAACTCTAAGACGAAGTCAGACTCGACTTATTAACAAATTAACTCACTGCTATTTCTCGTTGTGTCCAGTCACGCATTATTTTCCAGCGAGGCAATTTAGCGGATAGCACATCACACGACGCACCACATGAAGGAGCTAAAGGAAAGAATGTCTTACACCAGACATAGCAGAATACCGTCTTTGAAACATCTCAAAATCGACATACTTAAATAGAGCAGCTAGCTCACCTGAAGGATTGGCTTTGGCAGGTTTCTGTCATCCTCTTCTGTTATTTGTGTCTCGTAATATGACCTGACGAAGACTGGAGGGAAGTCGTTGTCATCGAGGACCTTGACGATGACGCAGGTCACGGCGCTGCCGATGCTGCTGCTCGCCGACACGCGCACGGCGTACTACAAGGGAGAGGCGAACTTGGCGGCAATGCAAGCTACGACTAGTTGTTGAGAGCCTCGAGTACATAATATGATAAAATACCAAAAAGAGATGGAAAGTATTTTGTCATTCAATTACGTATAATGAATGACGTTCGTTTGATTTGTATTGATATCAAATAAACCAACCATCTGGAACTTATGTATTAAGTGGTCCTTAATTTGAAGCGACGAGTATTTGTTGTGCTCGAACCAGAAGCTGCCTAGTGGAATGATGCCGTTAGACTGCTTTAGTGTCCCCTAAACCGCCAAATACTAGTTTTGTCTTTAAAAATGATCTCAATGAATGCGATAAAATCGTGTGCGTGCATTAGATTACAACCTTTCTCTTGTAGTGTTCCTGGAAATTAGTCGCATCTTGTTGGTTGACTGAACACTAGTTCAGTAGCTCAATAATGAAACAAGCAATCTTTCCTTGGTCGTAAATTGATTATAATTATGTATTTTTAGATTAAAGAGTAAATTAATGAAGTTTCAATTAATAAACATCATATAAGTGAATTTGAATGTAAATATAGTTTAAAGAGCGACCCTGAAACGCACCTGTGCGTGGGCCTCATAATCGAGGGGCGCCGTGGTGGCGAGGGCGCCACTGCGACGCCCGATGTGGAAGAGGGAGGAGGACGCGCCTCTGGCTCGGTGGTGACTCCTGCTGTAGGGCTCCTCGCACCCGCCGGGGCCTTCAGACAGTACCCGGAAGTGGATTTTCTCGTCTGAACACGTGGCACGTGACATTACATTAGTTAGTAATCTCAATCACTTGCAAGCGCCAAATACAATTTTTTTTTATTCGAATTTTTGAGTGCAATAGAGTTTTACATAAATAATAGCTTCCGAAAATCAGTCCAATTCATGATCGGTGATCACAATGACATGGTTTGAAGAAATTCAAAAATTAATTATCAATATTACCAGATTATACATTTCTTTGTAGTCAGTAAGTAATGCTTTTAACGACCCACACGATAGAACTTAGTATGTCTTTGCAAAATTTACTTCCTTAATGCTAAACAGTGGCTAAATATTGATAGATCCCGTCCGATCGTTTGAGCGGTAACCACATCAAACTGATATATTATATAACGGCGGGAACGGCGAGGCGCGGAAAACATATCACACTGCCGCGGAAGCGGAATAAAAATCAGGCTATCATTAAATACTCAGGAGTGCAAGCTCGCTTCCACCACATCGGCACGCCATGCGGAAAATTTATTGCACTGCAATTGGTTCAATGCCAACAATTTCTGAAACAATTTAGAAAATGCAACTTAAAATTCTGAAACGATCAAAACTAAGGATTATAGTTTCCCCGTCGGCACTGATTGACTAGTAAATGTAATTAAGCAACAATTATTGCCAATGCGGCAGCGGAAAAGGAATTTTATCGCCCGAGTGTTAATCACTCAGACTTGACAAAGCGCCTGTGAGCTTTCGATCCATTAACATCTGCAGCGCGCCTGGATTCCGGGCTCAAGACGCCTTTTTACGGACTGCATTCATTGTGCGCACAAATGGACACTTGATTCTGCAAGTGGTGATTTGTCACTGCGACGAATCACAGCACGAGGCTCAATCTGGAAGTTTTGTGCAAAATTCTTAGCTTATAAATGGAAGGTGGATCAGCAATATGCTTAGAAAGCCTTAATCGGAATTACTAAGGTTAAAACTAATGAGTCTGTCATTGAGGAAAAGCTGCGAATATCTTTCTCTCATGCATATAAAAGAAGAGCCTTGTAAAATAAAGTTAAATAATATATTGCCTTGGAACATGCACTAGTTCATAAGAATAAACAAAGGAAAATTAATGGGTCGAAAGCGTTCTCTGAAAAACTACGCAGTGATGAGTTCCAAAACATTGTGGAAGTTCCGCATAGTTTAAGAAACAAATTTAAACGATAAGGATAATTATGTTTGACGCCATGTTTTAAGTCCCATCAATTGTCAAGATAGTTACAACGTCAACATGGCTGCAGGTAGTCTATTTAAACAATGAAAGAGCGAATACTTCCTGGAAAATCTAGAAATTTTATTTAGGACATACCTACGTATTCTAATTTAAGATGAAAATTAAGTCAGGTTTAGCTGAGAGGCAGCACAATCTGTCAAAAATCTATAATGTCATGCCAATATAATATCGTAGGATTTTTCGCCTTCGAAAATTTACTAGCACCAGACAAATTTTGAGATTTTTGAATAGCAGCTCATTTTTCTGCTGACGTATCAATATTGCTGAAAACATATCAAGCGGGAGAAATAATGGGAGACGGGCAGGTTTTGATGATTTATGGATATGACCTAAATTATCAAATCTCCTTGCATGATTTAACAGCTGCAATCGATGGTTTCTACTGTCAATAGCTGGACTTCCTTAGTGCAAGCTCATCTGTATACAAGCTGCTACATCCTTCATGAAGCACAAGCTGAAAAACGTTGCTAACGAGTGCGATTGATTTGCGTAGAACGCAGAATCTTTAATACTAGGTAGCTCTGAAGATTGTTATGCGGTTCGCTTACGTAATAAAATAGGATTACATTCAAATAATTAGCAAATCCAAACAGTAAGTTTCAGTCTAAAACAAATAGAGCTAGCGTTCAAATAATCGCTAAGGGAGTGTATATATCATAATGTTTTTTCTGGGCCAGATTTTGAGCTGGGCTCCTGCACACTCATAAACCTTATGTCAAAATAACTGAAATCATACATCTGAATGAAAAAGTTATTCATAGTAAATCCAAAAATGGATCTATTGACAACTATCCATTCAATTTCTATTGAAGAGAAGAGAGGCAAGCCAAGGGACAGGTTATAAAAGGACTCGAATACAAGGATGCAATTCGAAACCGCAAGCCAAGTTTTGTACCCATTTTCATTGAAACATTTGGTGTTAATAATAACATTTTTGGAAAAATTTACCGACATATACATCAAAATCATTCTTTACAATCAACAAGGTTATTTCATGTAATCCATAATGTTATTTAATGTAAACATGTATTTCATGTTTACATGAAATAACCTTATTTATTGTTCAAGCCCTCACAAAAAACGGTTAAGCATTAAACGACATTCAATCGCTCAAATGAAAAATTTGTCTATTCCGCACCGAAGCGCAATACCAATTCAGTGAATTATAGCCGGCACTAAATCTGAATTAATGAGCGTAAAGCAGCGTTTAATAGCAAAGGATTGCTAGGCACAAAAGCTCATTATTGCGACTGACAATGCGGAAATTTTCTCTGTCCTGTATCAACATATTTCGTCGGCTGCCAGAAGCCGGTCGGCCGAGTGTGCTGGTCGACTGAAAGCTATTCATTATATGGCTCTCCACCCCCCTCACTGCATCTTCTTTGAAATAATTTGGCGTTCGACAATCATTAATTAATTTTTTGGGGCAACAAGACTACGAACATTCAGGGTCAGTTTAATTGCGAATTGACAGACTCAATATTTTTCAGATTTGCCGTGTCCCATAAATGGTTATTCGATCCGATCTACGCGCTATACATTAGATAACACGTTTTATTTTGCGATTTAAGCAGTATTTCAATCCATTTCATTCGCGATGATTTAAGAATAATTCCAACACATGCGATACTGAATACTTTTTTACTAACATGCTGTTAACTCACTAACAATGAACGAGTTGTGGTAGAAAGTGAGCCATATACAACACAATAATGACCGAATTTTAAGTGGAAAATAAGGTGAAAATCAAGTGGGCTTTTGCACCAAAATTAGTTGCCAATGCGATCATCTTACATTGGATTTCGATTTCATAAACCCAAACAGATGCTCGCATTGGAATTGTTTGCGAAATTGACAGTCTGGAAAGCCAATTTAGGATCGGCGTCACTACCAAAAATTAATTTAATTTTTAATGACATTTCACCGCACAAATTCCTACTCTGTTTTATGACTTGTGGCTACGAGTAAATCATAAATCTTGTGTTTGGAGTTATACTTAGATTTATGTTAAACTCAATGCATTGTTTCAATGAACACTCACCACAGATTTTCATGACGTAAGTGTGAGGGAGCAGGGAGGTAGTGGAAGCCCTTAAACTTTTTTTAGTAATATTAGAGGAAGAACAGAAATCTTATACCACTCACATTCTCCGTTACATTTAAAACGATCATGAAATCAACGAGCAAAAATTTGTCGCGACACAAACTATCCGTCGCAGTAAATATATTAAACACAATGCCTTACGCACTCGTTCATTATCATTGTTCGCGTGAACTGTAAATAGCTAGAAGACAAATGAAGAATGCGTACAGATCAATCCGGGGAAGCTACATTCATAAGATGAATGCACTTTTTGATGAATTCGTTGCAAAATGTCACTCACATCATTTCTTTTGAAGTTACCGATTTGACGACTCGGGTAACCAAATTTTAAACAATATTCATGTAATTAATTACAAATTAAGAAGTGCTGGATGTTTGATTAGAAAGTTTTCTCTCATTAGTCAGTAATTTTTTCATGTCTTTCATTCGTTCTATTCCCCTGTTGTTGTTTTTTTCGATAGAGAGAATTGTATTTTGCTCCATCTATGAAAAGTTTATGCAGAACAGAAAGGATTTTGTATGGTCGAATGAAGTAAAGATGAAAGCATATCTTCAATTTACTCTAATTACATGTTCCACAAAATTCGAAACTTTGAAGTTTTCCAATTCATTAAAGTTGAAGAACGCAAGCCTATAACATTTCGCGAGTGGATATTTTTGCTTGAAATATTTGCTGGAAATTCACAACAGGACTCGATCCGTGTTGCCCAGAGGGCAGCGAGGAGAGCTCGAGCGCCGCAACACGGCAGAACAAGAGAAACATGATTGGCAGACTCACAGACGCATCAGGGCAGCGATTGTTTGAACGGCTGTTGCAATTTAGCGAGCACTCGTAAATTGCTCTTCCTGTCCCTTCGTGGTCAGGCTGCAAAACAAGCAAATGCCCCGACGGGCGTTTTTGATGAACCGCAGCCTTGTGAAAAGTGAAAAATTGCGCTCACTTTACCAAGTGCATATGACGGTGCTCAGAAAATATATCGTCTGTGTATTAAGTGTATGTTCAGAACATGTGGACGTGTTTTTTCAGGCATCATCAACTAATACCTTTATAGTTCGAGAAGTTCAGTATATTCAGGACAAAATCTCCCGTCACACTTACAATAGGCTCGATAAAATAAAATATTCGTTTGAGTCACCTTGTCCATTTATTTTGTTGCCAGAATTAAAATTAATTTTATTATATTTTACATTATATTTTGTAAAACCGAAATTTTAATAGATGAAAGTCCAATACTTTGAAATTTATTTAAAAGTATATCAGGTGTATAGCTTTATTCAAGCTCATAATCCTCTGCAACGAAGAGCGCTCCAAAGCCTACTATGAGTGAGACGTTTGCCAGTAAATTGTCTATTTTTACATCATAAAAAATTTGCGTATTTCTATGTGTGTTTGAAGCATAGGGAATAGTTGTTTCTGCAATGAGGATACGATTTCTGCTACTTTGAAATCATATGTTAAGAGTTCTCTTGAAGTACTCTTAAGTGTTTTTTACAGCGCCTTAAGACTTCTTACTCCTATTATTCAGCTACAAGTTTGTGATATGCAACTGGCGCAGTGAGAAACATGACAAGTTTTCCAAAACTATCTTCGATGTTGTCAAAGAAAACGTTTCTTTGTGTCAGATGCGAGCTGAAAAGCTTCAAAAATGTTCAAGACACAGACGT